AATTTTTGTCCAATCTTTGTTTCTCTCAGATTGTCAAATCTCTTTCGATCAGTGTGTTAGTTTCTTTACAAAACTAACATTGAACAATCTTAGGTGTAAGTGTAGTAGTTTAGTTAGTTGATTTAGTTTAGAAAGGAAATCGAACTCATAAACAATTTTTGTCCAATCTTTGTTTCTCTCAGATTGTCAAATCTCTTTCGATCAGTGTGTTAGTTTCTTTACAAAACTAACGTTGAACAATCTTAGGTATTGTCAAATCTCTTTCGATCAGTGTATTAGTTTCTTTACAAAACTAATGTTGAACAATCTTAGGATTCTTCATTCATTTCTGCTATCTTGAGTGATCATATGGCGCAGAAAAATCGTCCTGGTCAATCACCAAGAGAGTGCAATAAGAAGGTATGTACTTATTCTACTTGATTAGTCATGTTCAGGTGTTAATATTCTTCGTATCCTTTTGTTTAGATTGAATGGCTCGAAAGGAAGTTCAAGGAAGGGTGGGAACATGTTAAATCAACTGGACAGGGGGTTCTTGACAATGAAGATCATCGAGCAAACTTAAAGGAGATGAAGTTGTTATCAGTTGTTGTCAATAGTGATGGTGAAGAGGATTACCGAAAACCTCTCAAAGGTTCACCATTAGGTATGTGGTTGTTTGTTAACATTTCCAAACTGTGGAGCTGATACAGTGGTGGATGTATGTGGATTATGCGTTAGCAACCTGTCCTTGGTATGTACTCTTGGAGGGTGTGATGCTCGAACGCTCAAACATCATACCCAAAGCGACTCACGATACCCTAGGAAACACGTCATTAAATTCACTCAACAACCTCGATTTGATAGACAACAACATCAATTTTGTAGATGATGATGATGCTGATGGCAACAATGGCGACAATGGCGAAAATAGTAATTCTAAACGTGTTCATGTGGCATCGGATGAAGATGAGGTTGATGAGAAAATCAAGGTGAAAGATGTGCAAGAAACAAAATTATCAGTCCGTCAAAGACACAACAAAAGTAAGTGACCTACATGTTTTATCTTCCATTTGATTGTGGTTTTGATTTATGATAATCCAGAGTTCAGACGAGATTCTAGGAACGGAAACCCTTCTCGAGATCCTCTTGGGCTTCAAACCCTTATGACCAACTTTCTACCTTCAAAATCCAAACGCCAAACCGTAGCAAAGTTGGAAGCCAAAAAAGAAAAGCAGCAAGCTCATTTGACATCCAAGATAGCTCAAGCGATTACTGTGATGTCAGACAATCGCAAAGAAGATATCAACCTTAAACGCTCTCAACTCTGTGGTGATGCTGTGACCAGATTTATGGGCATGGGGGATACTTTTGAGAAAGCGTTTGAAAAAGCTTCCTTGTTGTATCCGGACCCTCAAGTTACTCAAACTCAAGAATTTGTACAAGGTAGTAGCAAGGATGCCATCATAGGTGACAAAGACGAAGATACAAGTGACTCTGACATCGAATACTAGAACGATGGATCCTCTGAAGTCTGCTATCTACCCCACCTTTTTACACTAACACCAAGTTTGATCCTTAACAATTCCAGAATAACCGCTTGTCCTTAACTCTTCAACAGAAATTCACAAAGTCTTGTTCTTGTTTAACTTCTCAAAAGATCGTTTTAAAACTCGTTCTTATTCCATTCAAACTCACAAAAATATAACAAATGGAGTAGTCTATTTAATCTTAAACTTGATTAACTTTGTTTCTTTTAATTTCCAAAAAAAAACTCGTGCCTATTTACTTTTTCAACCAAAAAAATTGTGGTCTTTGCTGACTAACATCTTATCCTAAAAGACTTCTTCTTGTTTTTTCTTTTGGTCCAAGAAATCAAATGTGTGTGCGCTCAAGTTTGTTATGAGTTCAAAATCTTTGCTCGCAATTGAATTAAGTATGTGTTGTTTTCTTAACTTGAAAGAAAAAAGTGAGCAAACGGAAATCTGAATTTCCTAAGTGAGAATAAAAAGGAGACAACTAAATGAAAAAATAAGTCGAAGTAACTCAATTAAAAATTTGCACTATCTAAAAGATGGGACATCTGATACTTGTTGCGTTCATAACAAACCAGTTACAATTTTAGCTAATTTATTTAAAAAGTTAAGACATCGAAATGACATATTCTTGAAACAACTGCTCCCGTCTTTGATCGCCTAGACGTGCATTCCCCATGGCTGCAAAAGCTTCCTCTTCATTTGTTGGAGGTGGCTTGCAATGGTTTTCCCAATCATCTGATAGGCTGGTTTCCCAGTTGAACTCGTGGAGGTTCACAAAGTTGTGGACGACACAGCATGCGGCAAGCCACATCGAGAGGCGGAGAGCAGACCGTGGACCCTTGATAAGCACTCGAGCCTCCTTACAGGACTGAGTCCTACCTTTCCATACGCCGTTGGTGTGTTCAGAAGCAATTTGCGCCATACTCAACTCGTAATTGAAGTGTTGTTGTTGTTGGTCCAGGTCCTTATTCCTTGGCTTTTTGAATGCAGGGACAATCCACTTCGAAGCGCTGTAGCCCGAGTCAGCCAAAAGATACTCTCCAGGACTAAAATAACTTTCCATGTTTTTGTAAAACTGTAAGAAATATCCATTCAGTCAATAACTTGTTCAAAATACAAAACAAATGCAAAAAGAAGAAATTAGACTTTACCTCAGTTGATTTGAGGACTCTTTGATCGTGTGCACTTCCACACCATCCATGATGAGCATATATAATCTGCCTCCGATGATCACATATGATCAGGGAATTGACCACATAAACTGACTTTCAGCAATAGTAGGCCTTGCTGTTCTTCTGGGGAGCGTAGGCAAGGGGTATGAGTGTCCCGTCAATGAATCCAACACACTTCTTGAAAAACGACGATGTTCCGATTTCTGCGCTGATGACCTGTCGTTCTTCAGCGTTCGGCCACCTGACGTATTTTGATTCGAGTGCGACAAGTGCCACAATACATCGATTTGTATAGTTTTCAACTGTACCTTCTAGTCAAGATGACAGTCATCAGTATACAACATAAATTCAACACAAGTTGAACCATTCTCACTGGACAGTTTGAATAATTTACCAATTACTTGACACTGCCCCCCGTTTCCAGACAGTCCAAAGTTAGCCATCGTGACCAATAGCTGCCATGTTACTGGATCTTGCGGGCAATGTGAATTGTTATGAAAGATAGGATTCGCAGCAATCTTGTGCACAAGGTCAATGAACGTATCCTTTGACATACAAGCCTAGCAGAGATTCAGACAAGTTCCAACAAAACAAATCAGTCAACTTGAAAATGAAGCAAAAATACACATCTGATTCTACATACCACCATGTTCCACTTTCAATCATTCTCATTAAACCATTCATCAAAACATTCCTGTTTCTTGCAACGGGTTGAAAGATATTTGAGCCTAGGAACCAGGTAGCGTCTCTTTCAAGCACTTTCTAAAGCAAATGCAGCAATTGCCCGAGTTGCTTCATCCTCAGTGTAACAACGTTTGCATGATGTACGTATTGATGATGAATTTGAAGTATTTGCTAAAAGTAAGAGACCAGCCATGAGGAGTTGATCACTTGTATCTTCATCGGAGTCGAGCTGATCAAGAATCATGATTGCCGCCAAGATTGTAGTGATGTTGGTGGGTATCTTGCAAGATTTTTGATAACTGGTGACCAAAGACACTACTTGAAGTGCACAGAAACACTCCAAGCAGGCCAACACGTCGGTACGTAGGGTGGAGTTTGGCATTTGTGGTGGTATAGCATTGACAGGTGGAGTTTGGCAGTGGTGGAGTTATCAAGAGGTGGAGTTCGACTTCGGTGGTGGTAACAGGTGAGTGGGTAGTTGAAATCAGGGTCCACAAGGTCTCAAACTTGACTTCTTGACCCGGTCTACCCAGTACCACCAAAAATTCAACTGGGTGTACCGGGTCTTTGGGCAACCCGGTTATGTTTGAACACGGCTAATTAATATCAAAATCACCTCGAGCGACCGACTTTTTTGAATTGATTCCGGCCTTGTCCGAACCATTCTCTTCCTCTTCTGAATCATCATCATCACCTGAGAGTGATTCAGATGATTCAGATGATGAACTGTGAGTTCTTTGTCTCCCCCTCTGACTCTTATATGGTTGTTTTCTTTCTGACTTTCTTATTGTTTGGTCTATGTCATTTTGACAACTATCAGCCCTCCAAGCGATGCTTTTTAAACATCTAAAATCTTCTTCGCATCCTCAAAAGATTGATCGACACCTGCCTAGTTCCTCCCAAATCACATGTAAACATTCTCTTGATCACTTAATCTGGCTATGTTCTTGCCATAAAGCGCCCTTGAACTCTCAATGTCTCTACACATGATTTACAAATGAAATCAATGAATTTTGGAATGAATTTGATCCATTTCTCAGCCTAAAAAAGCCATTTTTAGAGCTAAACATAATGTTTAAGCATAACATATTTCTCCACAGCATTTATGCTCTTATGAGCTCTTGTTCCATAAGTAGCATATTCTATATTAGCATAGGATTGTGTGTGACCATCACCATGCTTATAAAGGAAACTCACTGTATTTGACTTCTCCTAATCTCTTCCACCAAAGTTCAATATGAACAATCAGCTAGTAATTAAATGATATACACTTCGTGATGGAAAATTTATTACAACAAAAGCTTAATTCATTCTTGTTTGTTTTCAAAATTGAAACGATATCATGGTTATAAGATTAAATTCAAGTAAATTAGTCTTAGATGAGATAAAATAAGTTATAAATAAAAAGATACAAGATCATAATGATTGTTTATTTCAAAGAGTTACAAAATTTACCAGATCATAATCAATCAAACCAATAGAGAAAACCCAATAAAGAAAACCCCCCAAATAATGTAAATAAATAAAGAATATGATCATTAACTTTACACCATCACATTTCCAAACCAAGCCTTTCAATAAGAATATATGTATGTAGAATTATGAAAAAAAGACTTTTTATTTCTTCTTCTTAATCTTGATCATGATCGATTTGTTGAATTTGATCGATTTTTAAACTTGAATGTTGAACAAGTTGAAATGAAGTTTGATTAAACCGTTTACCTTTTCTAGGATTCCAATTTTCAAAAACTTCATCTATCATCTCTAATGGGATCCCTCTTAATTCAGGTACAATAAACCAAACAAATGGAATCGAAATCATCATAAAACTTGCAAAGAAAATATAAACTCCATATCTATGTATACATGAAAAAATCAATCAGTTCATCATCTCAATCTCTCATTTAAGTCTTTTGGTTTTCAAACTTACCCCATGCTTGTAAACATTTGAGGTGTGAATCTAGCAATTAGAAAATTGAATAACCAATTACTTGAAGCAACAAAAGATTGTGATAAGGTTCTAACATGCATTGGAAAAGCCCTTGATGAAGAAAAAACCAAATCAATCAAAAAAAAATCATCAAGATGACCATCAAATTGATACAAAGAAAAACCTATCAGATTTCAAAAACTTACTCAGCTGCCCAAACCCAAGGTGTTGGATTCCAAGTAGGAGAATAAAAGACAGTCCAAAGATAAAACATAGCTAATGCACCTTTTCCAGAAGGTCTAAGACCATCTAAACTAGGATTCTCAGTAGGTTTGACAATTGCAATATAAGCTCCAAGTCCATACACTAAAATTAAGATTTCCAAGTTTGATGAGTTTGGATTGATTTTTTCAACTGATTTGAAAATGAAAAAATTCTGACTCACTCATTAACCCACCAAAAAAGGCACCAAACATTAACATGGTTGTTCGATCGATCGCATCAGCTAAGAAAAATAACCAAAATAAGGTAGCTATCGTTTTGATTGCACCAAAGACTCCGGTTGAGAGTAAAGCAGAAGAAGTTCCAGTAACACCTATTGAAGCAAAGACTGTAGGAGAATAATAATTGATGGCATTGATACCTTTGATGAATGATGATCAAGTAAAGGAAACCCATTTGATCATAATTAGCTTCTTTGATAATCTTTTCTTTTGATGATTTTTACAGAGAGAGAGAGAGAGATTTAGTTACCAGTTCCATTTTGAAAGATGAATAAAGATCCAGCAATCATTAATCTGGTTAATAAAGGTCTATGAAATAATAATTTTTCAAATGGAGCCCAGAATGAATTCCCAAGTTGTTCATTCTGTTTTTCAAGTGAAGATTCCATAATCTAATCATCAAAAAAAGATGAAGAAAAAAAAGACAAAAGAAAGAGATTTGGTTTAGCAAAATTGATGAAATTCAATGAAAATGGTTTTTTTTGAAAGAGAGAGTGTGTGACCAACACTAAATTCATTTTGAATTAAAGGATCATCTTGAATTGAATTTCTGATCCAACAAAGTGAATTTAAAGCTTCATCCTTTCTTCCACGAGACAAAAGCCATCTAGGTGATTCTTTAAGATAACTGATCAAACCAATCAAACAAATTCCAGCAGGTAAAAGTTGAATGGCAAATGGAATTAAATATTGTTGTTGAGATTTGATTCTAGGGTTTTGAGATACACCATAATTAATCCAAAAACCAATGATCCCACCTTTTTTTGTAGAAGAAGTGTAAAGTGATGAAGGTGTATATTTCAATGAAATCAAAAACCTAATCAGAACCATGATAATGATCAAATGAATAAAGCAGTAAAAAAGAATTGAAGATCAAGCTTACCAATTTGCCAACCCAGTTCATAAAGACCAATTAATCTACCTCTGATACTAGGAATCGAAATCTCAGCAATATAAATCGGTGTGATACTAGAAACGATTCCGATTCCAAAGCCCGTGAAGACTCTACCCACATAAATCAATGAAAGACCATTTGATCGATTTGAGATGGTCATGAAGATTGCACCGATCAAAAAGATTAAAACTGAGATTAATAAACTTTTTCGACGACCATAGAAATGGCCTAATGGATAAGCAAACAAAGCTCCAAGGAAACAACCCATTTGATAAAATGAAACTGTAGGTTTTGTGGTTTATGATTAGAAACAGGTTTTTGGATTAGAATTGGTGATGATTAGGATATCTATGAGGTTTTAGGTTCTTTTTTACCTATATTTGCTGATATCAAATTAAATTGGTCTTGAGTGATTCGATCTAATCCAAAATCAGCCTTAAAGGATGGTAAAGCGATCGTTCCACCTATAAAAGCTGAATCATCTGTAAAAAGAAGAAAATGTTTGTAAATCAAATCAACTTGATATCACCTTCTTTGTATGAGTTACTTTTTTAGTTTTTCTTACATCCTATCATCATCGCTCCAGCTGCTGCACATCCTGCAGATAAATAAAGTCGAAAGTGCTATATATTTTGTATTTTCAACGGTCTTGGTTCAGAATCGATCTGATTGATTTGATTGGTTCTCGGTAAAATCAAAATGACTTACTTGAATTGAAGTAGGAAGTTTAAGCGTATGATGAGACGAAGATGACTTTGAATCGAATCGATTTGCCATCTTGAAAACTCAAACGAATCACTCAACAGAATAGACTTTAGTACTTTGATAAATCAAAGGTCGATTGGATATGTTTTGAATGTAGGTATAGAGTGGATATAGAGAACTTCAAACTACAATTGGATTTGGTGAAGGATTTTCACCTTTTGTTTTTTAGAAGAACATGGAATCAATCAAATGAATCAAGACTGAGATTGGGATTGGGATTGAGACAAGTTTTGAAGAATCGAATCAAAGGAAATCGAATGATTGTCAAACTATGTATGTATCCTCATGAGTCATGACTCATAACTCTTTTTCGTTTCAAGTTCAAGTTCAAGTTCAATCCGAACACTTCAAACCAAATCCAATTTTGATTTTTTGATTTCTGAAGTTTAAAGTTTCGATTGATAAGATGAGACTTTGAGCTTCATTAAGGAATGGTGAATTTGATTGATCGAGTTGTAAGGAATCGAGCTGAACAGAAGTGGTCTAATGTAAAGTAAGATGGTCATCAAGCAGTCAAAAAGAAGAACAATCACTTCACTGCACTTCTTCATCCATCATCAGCTCTAATCCATCATCATCTGATCTACAAACACATAAGCCATACTCAAACTTAGCTTCAAATAGTCATCTCCAATCAATGCAAACAAACAAAGCTCACAACAGTCAGTGACATTGGCAAGCATCTCAATGTTCCAGCATACCTATCAAAAATTAACCAAGGCAAGCCTAGAGTTTTTGAAATTATACAATCCAGCCTCTGGTTCTGATTCATGTCTAGTGTCTCTGATCATATAACTGTTTCATTTGTGTGAAATCATTTTTCTGACATTTGCTCATGAAAGAATACATTAGATATATTCCGCGCTAGGTTAATAATCAACCATCTTTGAATGTTTTAATCTTCATGAAGAAAATGAGATTTTGGTAAAGGATCAATTCAGATAAACCTCTCCTTCCAAGGTATTCCAATATAAACTTTTTTTGATCTCCTTCATAGTTTTTTTGCCTGTTTTTTTTGTTTATTCATTTGATGGCTCATATTGCTAGACTATTAAACTGAAACCTGTTATAAGCTTATTCCTAATACTCATCAATCCTTGTATTATCAAACCATTCTGTGCAACACAGTGCAAGAAATCCTAAACTCAATCTTCTTTCAATTTTCCCTAATTATCTTCTGTATCAATCATTATAATGTATCTTGTTGATTCTTGTTGATTGGTTCTTTAAATTATTGACAATCTTTATTAAGCACCGGTCATCACATTATTTTCACTTTTTTTTATACAAAAAAAATTCAAGAATCTGTTATACTGTAAAAAATGGAAAAATAGGCAGATGAAATAACCAATTCATTATTGTACATACCCATTTGGAAGGTTATTGGTGTCAAGATTTCAAGGTTGTTTGTGGAATCCAAGTTGGATTATTTATACGGCTCATGTTGAATTATTTACATACATGCATACATGGCTCTTTTTCCAAGCACCATGTGTTTGTATATGTAGTATGGGAGCTTAACACAAACACACAACAAGATTGATGAATCAATTCAAAGATTTTTTGAAAAATATTGACCATGGATGTGTAAAGTGGGGCTTGGTCACAACAACTACCCAACCATTTTGAGGTACATATGAAAAAAAAGCTTGGTGTGATTACACCATATCAAGATACCCTTGGAATGCAACATACATGGTGAAGATACTTGATCCCATAGCTGTCAGACACAGTCAACTATATAAACATTTGAATGATTTTGAATTGCAGGTGTGTCTATGTTGTAGATTTACAGTTTTGAAACGGCAGGAAACTCTTAGAGCTTTTGATTTTTGCTTCACAATCAGGTGGGTTGTTCTGTAGAGAAACATCCAGTGATTCTGGACTGCTCTGTGTACTCATATCGCCTGAGATTTCAAATTTGGTGTAAAAATTCAATCAAAACACAGCTTTTCTACTGATTTACAAAAACAAATCATGATTTCATTATGATGCTGAGAGTGATTTTTCATACTATAGAGAAACTCCAGGCAGCCCCTTTTTCATATCATTTTGTAAGGAGAACTTCAAATTGTAAATGAGGCGGTCAGATTTTGGCCAAATGCCTCAATAGATCTCAGGCCATTTGTTTGACTGTAGGTGGTACTTATTCACTTGTTTTGATCTTGACAGTTTTACTGACAACAAGTGGGACTTGTTAAAAGTCCTTTGGCAGGGAGACTCTGAGTCTGAAGTTCATTGGGGGCACCACTGCGCAACAGAATAATTACAGGTCCGGGGGTGCTACCGACGTGACCGGGAGTTCTGACCTGCTCTGACTCGGGTCGGTACATCGGTACTTGAAAAGGAACTAACTCACGACTCATTCCGAACTTCAGATTGAGATCATCGTACATTTGTTAAAGATCAAGAAACCCAAGGCTATCAAGTGATCGACCATCAAAATGACAACCTATCGACCACCTCGTAAGTCAATCGATTTGTTCCTTGGTTTTTATAGTCTTCATTTCGATTACTAACCTTTGAACCATATCTTGGTTTTGATTTCTCTTACGATTTTGCGAACCGATCAATATCATCATCTTCGCAATCAAGATTATGGAAATACTCAAGAACCATTAGTGGATCCAGCGGAATTACCTAATCATATTCCCAAAGTAAAAGAGTTGGGTGTTACATCTGCTCCACTTAAAAGCGCTTCATTCTTTATGGGTTCATTTTGTAAACCTTTCACTGGTTAGATTATCATTTTATTTGATTCAGATCGAGCAAAGAAGACTTTGATATACGATTGATTTATGGTGTTTTTTGATTTTGATTTTCCATGATGACCATTGGTGGGTGTTTAGAGGATTTTATGCTTTGTAAAGCTGAAGATGGGAACCCAGAACATTGTTTGAAAGAAGGACGTCGAGTGACTAGATGCGCTCAAGATGCGTTAGTGAAGCTTTGAGTTAACATATATAAGATCATTGAAACCGAAAAGTTATGGTTATTCAATTGGGTGACGGTTTTTTTGTAGGATTGCCAAGATCAAATCAAGTTGTTTGGAAGAGTTTAATTCACATTGGCAATGTCTCGAAATGAACAATCAAGTTAGTTTCCAATAATCCTTTTTTTACATCTCGATTTCCAAGCTAATCATATTTTTATTATTGATAAAGAAATTCGAATACTGCCGAAAACCCGAAAAGACTTTCAATGGATGTCTATATGATAAACTAGTAAGTGATCCGACAAAATAACTCAAAGATCAAAAGAAATCCTAATTTAACTCTATCCTTGATGTTTTTTTCTTATTAAAGCAATGGAAAAAAGAAATCCCTGGCGCTCCTGTTGATCAAGAACCTATTCATGAAAAAAAGAGTCCAATCTATGGTCGAATTCAGCGGTAAAAATCTTATATTTTAAACATTTAGGGACTTGAATTCCTAAGATGTAGTATAAGACATCTCAAATTTGTCAGTCATCGATCACTAATTGGTGATAAATCTCGAGAGTCATTTATGTTCTCTTGGATTTATCTAGTTTGGGGTTCTATTTGACTATCTTGTTATGTTTGTTTGGTTTCATGTAACATTTTCGAAGGTGGTAACGGACGAGATCAGCAGTCTTGAGATCCTTACAAACAGTTCAAAGTAGATGATGGGTCTTGCGCTTCTCCACGTTGCTTCACAGCAGTAAATCGAAAGTTCACAGTTTCGCCGTTCTGTAGTAAATAGATTACTTGCAGCCCCTTTTCTCCATCAAGTTGGTCATGCCATTAGAATAAGAATGCAATCCAGGATGGTTTAAACATCTCAGTTGGTCCAAGTTGACGCCTTGTAAGCATCATTTGATCAAAAAGATCCCCGCTACTGCGTCAACTCAGCGCACCGGCGGCAAGAGAAATTGTATGGTACCCACCACATGGCCTACATAACAGCCATTGATCCTATAAACCAGTTAGACAGCGGCGCACTGTGACCGCAGCCCAAGTCCGTCATGCAGCTGCGCGCTGCTTGGCTACATAGACTTGTTTGGAAAGAGGGGGGCGCGCGAGGATTTTGTCCATGGCTAGATGGTGAGAGCTCATCTACTCATTGCAAGTTACTCCTTTTGTTGAACCAAAGCTCACCAAGCCTTGAACAGTCATTTACCTGCCAAATCGCACGATCAACAATGGACAAGTTTTCTTGAGAAAACAAAAATGGCGGAGCTCTCTAAAGCTGATGTTTCTCTATTAAACCAAAAGAAGTGCCGTAGCTTTTTACCTTTGGTACTACTAGACGGACAACATACTATATTTCTCAGGGCCAGTATGTTTGAGGAGCATTTTTGTACTTTGATGACATAACACACCTCAGGCGCAATTCTGGTGTTGCATTGCGTCTTTTTGCGTCCATGAGCGAAGTCTTTTAGCGCATCTGTGCATACAGAGGCTAAGACTCAGAGAAACATCTGATCTATGCCCGATACAAATAGCCCATCACCTCCCACCACCCCAAGTTACACTGACAAAGAAGATCGCAATTTTGGTTTAAAAATTTAGTATGTATTGTGTAAGTACATGGACGACATGAGTGGCATAGGAATCTTTCTCCTGCATGTCGTACCACAAAGGACGAGATCATACAAAAGTCGTGGATTTGTTGATTAATTTAGCACATTGACATATAAATGTGTGTCCAGACCGCGAGGAACATATGTAAGACATAAAAGAATCACTCAAAGAAGTTATCAGCGGACCAAGAAGCTCCACAAGAGTCGAGGATTGTAATTACATAATTGTGAAAATCTTGGCAGAAATACTATTGTTGTAGGAATTCATGTGGTTGAGTTCAACTTGCTTCTAGGTTTTGATGGAATAGACTAGAAACAACATATAGAGGTTAGTCTGGTTATCCAAAAGAAATACAATGAGAAACAGCGATAGGCTGACTGAAAGTTTCCTTTTCAATTATTAAGAAAAGACAATATGTAAATGTCAACTTCTTGGATGATTCAGATGTTGGTCTCGTGCAAAATCCGGAAATTAAAGTAGTCCACATTTTCGCCATTATATCAGTTCATATCAAGTTTGCTTAAATAGTGTTACAACTCCCTCCAAATATTGTGATGGGATGAATATGCGCACATTTTGATGTATTCTATTCCCTCATTATTGCTTATCATTTCCTTACTCATGTTCCAATTTATTTTTTGGCATGCTCCAGGTCACTTTTGGGGATTGTTACCTGATTTAATTGTCGATTTATGAGTTGACTTGAAGGTAGGGATTGGAAGATGAGTTCATCAAAAGAAAAGTTCTTATTGCTAGAAGGGAATTTATCTCAACAGGTATGTACACATGTTTTATTTCGTCCTCACTGAGGTACAATGATAAGCTATATACTTAACAAAAGATGAGTACAATAATTTATACACAGTATGTTCAAGTTTTTATAGAATGCAAAAAAACGAGGATAGGTATCATCAAATCAGTCTCATGATCCAAATCATTGAAAGCTAAGAAGGATGATACAAAACAAATGACTAAGACTGATAACGATTCCAAAAACCCAGTTTTTGGACAGTAATAATCAATAAGATATCTCTTACCTATTCCAAATCACTATTGATGTTCTCTATCAAAACTTATCAAACGTCGAGTATGTGGAGTAGTTGTATCCGAAACCTTTTTGAGCATATTTGAAGCTGCGTCTAAACCTCCACTCAAACTTTTCAATCGCAGACAAGCATGCGTAATTAGTGTTTTTGGAATCTTGGCTAGTATTTAAGCTGATCAGACTAACCCTCCCGAAATTGCATTAAGCACTCCGGCTGCCAGCTTCGGCTTCTTTGTGGGGTCCGTAGGGGCGTTAGGCGCAGGAGATGTGCCATCGGGCGCAACAGCAATTGGGTTAGGTACACCCGCCATGGGGGGAAATATAGGCGCAACAGCTGTGACAGGAGCTTGCTGGGATCCAATAGGGGTAACATTTGTGACAGGAGCTTGCTGAGGTCCAAGAGGTGTAAAAGTGGTGACAGGAGCTTGCTGAGAGCCAGATTGGAAGTCTGCTGATCCAGCGGGTGGAACTATTGGTGGAAAACTGGTGACAGGAGCTGGCTGGGATCCAATAGTTGGAACATTGTCGACAGGAGCTGGCTGGGATCCAATAGTTGGAAGATTGGTGATAGGAGCTGGCTGAGATCCAGTAGTTGGAACATTGGTGACAGGAGCTTGCTGGGATCCGATAGTTGGAACATTGGTGACAGGAGCTTGCTGGGGTCCAATAGGTGCAACAGAGGTGACAGTAGCTTGCTGGGCGCCAGACTGCAAGTCTCCTGATCCAGCGGGTGGAACTGTTGGTGGAAGACTGGTGACAGGCGCTTGCTGGGATCCAATAGGTGGTCCAATAGGTGGAACATTTGTGACAGAAGCTGGCTGGGATCCAATGGTTGGAACATTGGTTACAGGAGCTGGCTGAGATCCAACAATTGGAACGTTGGTGACAGGAGCTTGCTGGGATCCACCTTGTGCGAGAACATGCGAAGAAGCTATAAGAGCGTACAGCGCAACAAACATGTTATTGAAAGTGATAATGTGCATGCTGGATTTTATTTGATGCTTCGGAGCCTGAATCTGATGGACGAGGTATTTTAATCCGCACAATTGAGGATATTTGTGGGAATTGAGGTCTGATTAGGCCTGTGTGGATTGTAACTTGGTTCCTTGAATATGATTTCAAATGATACATACGGTCTCCTGCCTCGCTAGGGAAGCCACTGACAAAGCAAAGCCTTGAACTACATCTTTTTGGCGAAGGGTCTGATGAACACGTTGAGACCGCCATGAATTAGTAACCCCGCAGGTTTCTTTTGGTTGTCTCTCTTTCGCTATTCACTCAACGACCAGAGTACCTATGGATGTCAGAAAACGTTGAGGCTTGTACTGAGGTCAAGGGGAATCGCCGACTCAATGCTGCACAGGAAGACTGCCGGGCGAAACGAGCCTTTCGAAGTGAGAACAAGAGAGGTGTGAAGCTATCTGGACTGTGACAGTTTCCTAGATTAGCTTGCCCAAGCCCCTATGGAGCGAGTTTGCCGCGCCCTCGAAGGCTTGCTTCCTAGACGATTGCAACACTCCTTGTAAGGTTCACCTTGTGGAGTCTTTCTCCTCTCCCCAGGAATTATGTCATGATCAAGGGAGATCAAATTTACACCCACTGGATTGAAAAATCAAGCAAAGATTCATACGAAATCGGGTATTTCTTCTCATTTCATTTCTTGATTTCTTCCCTCCTATCCTTTGTCAAAACATCTTACAAATTTCATTATCAGGAGTCACGAGGAGCCGGGGCCGTGCTTCTAGATTCTTGCTTCTCTCTATCTTTCTATAATCTCTATCAATCAATGTTTTTGACCCTCTCTCGATTTATCATCTTAACTGCTTTGGATTTTCACATGTCTAATTCTTCAGGTACTAGTCCCCTCTCTCCGTCTTGTTCCTTAACGCCATGTTTCCAGATTCCTATCAACGTCATCACATATATTGCAACTTCATTCCATGACCAGGCAAATTTATTTACAGGTCCATTGTAAGCGCTGTTATATATGGCTTTTGTAACTCGACTGGAAACAATAAAGCGGGTCAAAAATGTTGGCAAAGAAAAAACAGCTGAATGGATCCTCTACAATTGATACAGTGAGGGCTGAAGGATCAATCAGACATGGGACTATTGCAGTACAATACTTGCACCCGCTTTCTTAGCTTTCAGGGGGTGTGGAGCGTTTTATCTTGGACTACTGCCCACCACATGATCAGTGACACTGAATTACTTAGTCAAGTTAGCTCAAGTTAGCTGAATTACTAACCTTGCTGACTGCTCAAGCATGAGTAATTGTGGCGCTGGTTTATGTAGATCTTATACTATTATTATTTCACTGGTCATCAGTGGGATCAATGATGAAATGAGCCATACAATGCTACTTGGCAAGGGCAGGTTCTTTGATGGACTTGTTAAGGTCTATATGATGGGTCTAATTAATAGAAATCACCTGGATTGAACTTGAAATAACTTCATATCAGTTCAAATACTTGGTTTTAGGGGATTCTGTTAGATCAGGTGAGAGAAGGCCTTTATATGGTGGTTGTAACAATGCTTTGACACACTGGAATTGAATCCGGTAAAGACTAAGTGTGGCTTTGTAGGTTCTGATGTGTGTTGCAAAGGACACATCTTGGTTTTCTCTTATCAAGAAGTTCTTACCGATCACAGTAAACAGATATGGGTTTCTTTATGATGGAATCTTTACCTCCTCTATGTATTATCTGGGTTGCCTTTATTACCAAATTGTTTTACAAGTATTCATTCATCCAATTTCACTAATCTTACAAATTTTACTATAGTTTATGTGTAGGTTAATTGAATGAATTTTTGCTCCCTACCATCCCCAAAATTTCTGCTATTTTGTGATAGTTCATGTTGATAACAACATTGGTGACCACCCTAATGCTTTGCTTATCTTTCTCAAACTTGATTCAGACCTCTTGGGGCTGTCCTGTGTTATTTAGCAGTCTTTAAACAAACAATATAAAGCCCTGTCCCCCAAGTCTACACACCAAACCTACTCCATCCATAACCAAAGTAAAGATGCCAAATTTTCAAACTTAACTTCCCCCAACCAGCCCAAGGTCCCCTTGGATTGATTTTGTCAAGTAAATCATTTACAGACACATGTGAGTGATTGGCTTATGTGAACTTCTAACACAACCACATCAATTTACAAATTATCTGGAGTGGCTCAGGCCTAATAGCTAGTAGAGAACAGCCCAAGCTAGGTGCATCAGGCTCATTAAGTCTATAGGGAGCTCTGATATGTGTTGACTGGGGATTCAATACCCTTTACAGTCAAAACCGCACAATTGCATAATTGTGCAGCTGAATAGACCCTGATAATGCATACAAAGGATCCTGAATCTTGATACTTTCAATTTTATTGCCAGATTTGCCAACAGAGTTGCATGACCTGTCGAAATGCATGCCAAAAGTATTCCACCCAAATTGTGTGATTGCCCAGGTTTGAATGTAGTTAACCCCATCCTAATAAGAGTATGTGGGATGGAGATTGTACTCTTGGCACACAAGCCATGTGATATAAATCAATGAAAGTTGTAGTGCAAAGTTTTTCAGCTTGGTACTTGTAATGAAAGTTTGAGATAAGGAATCAGGGAGTCTTATCCCCAACATTGGACATATATTGAAGGGTGCATATGTCCTGTTTGCTCTAATCCTGACAGGGATAACAATGAAAAACAAAGAAATACAGGTCATTCCTGGACATGACAAAAAACTTATGTGTTAAGAGTGGACTCAGGTTGTGGGTGTGGCACAAAAAGTGCAAATGACCCTACCTAGGCTGAGGCACACACACCACACCCTCAAAGTTTGGGTTTGAGTAACCTTTCAAAGGATGGACTTGAGGGAGGATTTCTTCAGCTGTTAACCCCATATGAGGAAACTTCCTTGATCTCCTCCAGTTTGATATCAACACCAAACCACCATCTTTTTGATGACTTGACAATGTCTTCCCTCACTGCCTTCATTATCAAGACCCAATTTCTACTGAAGGTATTTGCAAGAACTTCCTTAGGTTGCTGATAATCAGAATAACACTGTTGGTTCTGCTTCTTGTCCAAAGTCCATTGGACTGAAACTGATTCAGGCTTAGGAACCAAAAGAAAGGATTCTTCAATCAAATATTGGATTCTTTGGAAGCTTGGTTTGGAAAATGTCTGACTTGCTGTTTTCAGCCCGAGGCATACCACAGTAGAAAGCATGAACGCTCGGATTCCAGGGAGTATAACAGATGAACAGTAAACACAAGAAGCAGGGTGGTATTGTGATCAGCGGACGTTCAAAACCCAACCCTCACTGCTAATTATGAAATACGGGTGCAGAATTTGGAATGAAACAGAAAGAATCACTGGAAGAGGGGTCAAAATATATTGATTGATCATTATGACCTCATGGCTTTGAGGCCAGAATCTGTGAAGGAGGTCGAAGATTGAGAGGGTCTATGTTCATAACTGAGGTCAGGCGGAGGGTGTGTTCAGGTTCAAAGGCGAAGATCAACTTTTACGAAACCGCTGGAGGCCGATTGCTCGATCTTTAGTAACTCAGCCTCACCGCAATTGGCGCTCAGCCCACCGATCGAAATCCTGAACACATTGACCGTACATGGCAAATCAAAAGGAGCATAATTGACAGTAAAGTAAAGCATGAACACCCAAAGGGCCAGGTGAAAGTAGGCATAATTTTCGAACCCGTTTCTCTAGAGTAAGTTGAGGTAGGCTGATCACCATAGAGAACATTACAACCCGATATGTGAAAGATATAAAGTTTAAGCGACTTTAAAATTTGCCAAACTGCTTAGCCTTAGCTGAAGACTTTGATTTTGAGACACGGAGGACGTTGAATCGAACAGTCTGTCAAACGAGCCAGGAGAAAAGATCGGTCAGCGTGGATGACCCAAATGACTGTTCCGATATCTGAATACGTACCTTGGATAGTGGCCGACATTGACCAACAGTCACCTGGTCACCGATCTCTACACGGAAAGCAGGAGAGCAGTGAACGGCCATGTTTTGATGCCTGAGAATACACATAACCGTTTGACATAAGTGACAGTTTGGTGAATATTGAATAATGATTGAATGTTTCACCTCTTCTCGTATCTTGAGTATTTAGGTACGAAGTGGAGGTACTCCCTTCGGATGATGATTGTTCGGGTCATCTTAGTGGACACAACTCGTCCGGTCAAGATACGACCACGGATGGAAACTTCACCAGTGAAAGGACATTTCTTGTCAATGTAAGTTCCGTTGATAGCCTCGGTTGGGGTCTAAATGCAATGGATACAATAAGCAAGTTCAGTGTCAATAAAGCATCCCCTAGGTGAATCATGCTTCCCTATCCTAGTGGCGGGTAATAGTAACCTGAAGGTAGTGGAAAGGAATAATATTATCATGCAGACCTTGAATCCCAATCCGACATTCTTGTACCACCTTCTTTCTTTACCAGCAGTCTTCTTTCCGGTGGATTTGATCTTGGAGTTTTGAAAGATAGGTTGCTTTTGGAAAGCCTTTTCGGTTTGTTCAGCACCGATCGTAGTGGCCATCTTGAGGGACTTGAGGGTAATGAGGGTGTTGACCGGGGGCGTGAGTGGGTTCCAAGGGAGTCGACAAGTGATGGTCTCGAGTTGATTGACCGGGTCTTAGGTTCTGATCTCGTGATTAGGTTTCAGACTTCAGTTCAACCGGTACATTTCCATCCATCTTCGGTTATCCTGAACTGTTGTAGCTCATCATGTTAGGGCTTCATGTCCGAAACCTTAGTCTAAAGTCACCTGTCCAGACTCCCTGGACCCTTCCATACCATAAGCCCTCGCTATACAGATATGCGTGTACATGTGATTGCAATACAGTCGACCAAGTCAATGTGACAAATTTTTTGCGCGCCAATCGACCAATACATAACAAGTTGACCGATTGCTTTTTATCAAAGGACTTCACTCCATTCAACTTTCTCTATCAAGCGTAACTGGCCCCTTTTCAAGTCCAGTGAATGAATAACAGACAATTCAAGATGCCTAGTCAAGATCGAACTCAGACCTTAGTGCTTGACACGGCGCCTCTCTTGACATCCACCTTATCATCTTTATTGGTCTTTTCTCACAAGTTTGTTACTACTCCTGATGTGATGGAAGAAGTTAGAGGAAAAGGTCAAAGAGATCGTTTACAACGAGAATGGAATATGTTGGACGCGGCTTTAACGAATCCTACTGGTGAAGGAAACCAGGAGACCCAAAAATGGCAAGGGTTGGAAATTAGAGAACCATCTGTGGCTGGGATTTCAAAGGGTACTTTGGCTGTTTTCAGAAACTCTTCATATCAATTTCTTATCGGGCTTTTTGTTTTCAAACCTGACCTCATTCTTTCAATTTTTTGGGGGGCACCTAGTCAAGGAATTTGCACGTCAAACGGGTGATATTGCAGTTTTATCAACAGCTGATATTCGAGTTTTGGCATTAGCTTATGATGTTGAAGTTGAAGCCAATGGTACATGGAGACTTAGAGATAAAGTAGGAGGCAAGCGTCTTGGAAAAGATCCTGTAAAAAAGGCAGCTCGATTATTACGAAAGCAAGCTAGAATCGCACAAGAATCAGAATCTATTAAACCTACGGATCAAATAACACACTCAGATGTTGATACTCTAGCTGAATGTACGGAACAACTTGACATCACCAAGGACACTCCTAACGATACCCACGAAATTGATACCTCTAATGCTGAAGACCAACCTGACGAATCTAACTCTGAAGTCGATGACGATCACCCAGACGAGCAGGAGCCTTCGATAGCAGCAACAGACGACAACGCCAACGACGGATGGACTCATATCGCTGTCAGATCAAGTGCTAATGTCATTGATGAATGTGAAGAAGATGATTCGGACTCGTCCTCTGTCGTATCCGAGTCCGATCCATCCTGGATCACCCCAGACAATGTTCATCTTCATAAAGCAAAGGATATGGGTTTCTTCCCTTCGCTTGCTCCTAAAGCTTCTCAACCCGGTGATTCAGCCCAAGGATCAACTAATGCTGAAGTTAAAGAAACCGACACTTCAACTTCTAAACCTGACATCGCGAGCACCAATGAAAATTCGCATACAAACACTCCTACTATGAAGGCTGCTTTATTGACAGGAGATTTTGCTATGCAAAACGTTGCCCTCCAAATCGGCCTCAATGTCTTTGGTGTAGGAGGCAGGCGCATCAGGGACGTTAAAACATTCGTTCTGAGATGCTATGGGTGTTTCAAGTGAGTGGATTCTTTACACATATATGCCTCGAATAAATATTGATATGTTTGCTTCTTCCTATTTTACAGAATTTGCAAAGACCCTACTCGTAAATTTTGCCCTACTTGCGGTGGAGCGACTTTGACGAGAGTATCTATCACCTATACACCTTCTTCACCTAACGGGTACATTCTTCACCTTAAATCGAATTTCCAATACCGAAATCGAGGTACAGTTTACAACATACCATCAGCCAAACCAGGTAGTTCATCATTTGACAAAGGAGCCAAAGCAAAGGGCAACGTTATAAATGGTGCTACATTAGTTTTAAGAGAAGATCAAAAAGAGTTTCAAAGAGGTTTGAAATCACTTGGAATTCAAAAATTTAAAGAAGAGCGTAAATTGAATCAAACAAGACAAGAACGTTCGGGTAAACAAGACTCATTTGTTTTTGGTGGTGCTAATGGATGGAATGATCCTGATTGGGAAGCTCCTATGTTGATGGGTGAACGTGGTCGTAAAGGTGGTCGAGCAGGAAATAGAGATGTACAATATGGCAAGGATGGTTTACCGGTGATTGGATTTGGCAAAAACCCAAATGTGGTGAGACGAAAACGTTGATCTGGCGGCTTTATCTTCAATCATGATGTGCTCAGTTAGTTCAGGCAATTGAGTAGATATGTTGACGTTGCAAATGATATATTCCTGGTGCATATCTGGATATGATTCATGTTGCTAATGCAGGGTGTCCAATTATGAAAGACAAATATAAACTAGTGAAAGCGTGAACCATGAGGCAGAGGGAGAGTCGACTGGATGTTTAAAGCCTCATTCAAGCTTGGTCAATGATGACCTCTTAAAATATTCAGCCCAGTGTTCGTTTTTTTTCTTGCGATGACGTAATTTAAAGACTTCAATTTGTTACATGATGTTAGTCGTACCAACATACAGGTTGTTTGATCATCATCTCAAGTAAGACTACAACTTGTATTATGTAAGAACAACTGGCCTATGCAAATCAGATTGTGGAAGGGCTTTGTGGGCTGAGGGCTCCCAGCTACCTTCCACAAACCATCGTCCAATATCTGAGAGTGGTTCAAGGTGTGAAGCTTTTGAAGCACTTCACCAAGTAAGGAATTGATCATTTGGGTGCCCTTTAGTGCACCCTGTTCTTTAGCAAACTGAGATACGAGACTTCAAGGCAAGTGCAGGTTAAAAAGCCTTAAAAGTGAACCAAGTCTAAACAGGATGTAGCTCAAGAACTGAATTTTCAAGAAAGGAAATAAATTTACCTCACAGATACACATGATACTTTTTCACAAAATGATGAAGACATGTTACATACTTTGCTACAACAGAGTTACTCTTTCATAAGTGTCATGGTTTTCTTCAATTTTGAGGTGAACAGATTAGAAAGAAAAAAAGTGAAAAAGAAAAAAAATGGTGATATAAAACTTGCTGGCTTTAGGACCGATGTATTTGAAGCTCCACGGTTCACATCACAAACATTAAGTTTGTATCAATTGGCTGGAAGAAAAGAAGGTATCAGCCAAAATCTTCAGTTGTCATCTTCCAATCATCAAAAGCAAAAAGATCTCAACTTACATGTGAAGCTGAGAGTTGGGGTTTTTGTGAGTATTTCTCTTTTAGGATTTGACGAATGGAAACCAATAGTTGTTGATAGGTTTGTTGAGGGTTTTGGGTCAGTGCAGTGATGAATGCATAAGACATCGCACTAGAAAACAGGGTAAGACATATCTTCATAAATCATCTGTGTTACTCTTGATGAAGAGAATTAGGCAACGAACCCAGTAGCTGCACCCGCTTCTACTGCATCAGCACTAGTTTGAGAATCTTTACAACCACTCCATTGGATCGCATCTGCAGGACTAGTTCGAGTAGCTCTTGAAACCTGTTCAGCTTTATTACCATTCATGACCTTCTTTCCTAATCCAAGTAAACCTTTTGCCATTCCACCAATATCTCCGCGCATATAAGAAAGACCAGCTTGGAGTGCACCTTGACCAGCCCTGTTTGATACAAGAAGGTTAGTAAAAGTGATATCCAAAAGAGGCTGCAAATTGTTTTTGATAACTCACTCGGCCAACATGTTGGGTTCCTTGATCTTTCCTTCAGTTGAATATACGTCTGTACAGATAACAAGATCTTTGTCAACAGCTCATCCTAATGAGTCACGAGCAAAGTAGATACGAAGCAAATATATACACATACATGGTAAATCCAAAGCTGTACCCGAATGACAAGACTGAGCGTGACGAAAAACGAGATCAGAGGACAGCGCTTTCGAAGATATAATATATAAATCATACTGACATCAAAGATAGCAGTAAGTCGACATCCGGGTGGGAGTGGTGCGACCATGATGAAAAACATTTCGTCATCTACAATGTGACCGGCTTGTTTATGGTCCAAAGGATATATAACTTCATCAAACCCATCATCCTCATCACCATCTAAATCTTCAGTCTAAAGAGATGCAAGATATGTATTAATTCATCAAAACTCGTGTGAAACGATCTGAGAACTGAAAATGACTCACTTGGCCACCATGACCACTATAGTGAACTGATGGAATTAAATAGGTAAGCTCAAAGTCATCAAAACAGGAGTCCGGGTGAAGTACTAACAGAACAGTGAGTCGTTAGGTTGAGCATTCGAAACCAGCCATTGCATGGCAGAAATTATATTGGCTCGGGTTGGGATTTGTCTAGCATTGGCACCCGGCGAATCCAATAACATAACCATATCCTCTGCCTTGTAGTTATACCGTTCTATCAATCAAGAGTGTACAAAATCTCAGACTTTGAACTTTCTTTACGAGTGATTTTGTAAATGACAAACCTATCAAGAACCTTTGCATATTTGTTGCATCATTATGACATCCTCTCAAGGCCGCCGAAGTCCCAGTACTAAGATGGAATGATTAATATGATATCGCCGAGTGATTTAATTTCAATTTGAATTATGACTCACTAATTGATTCCTACGCAAAGTGCTTTGCGTCGACCAGTACAGTTGGAATACTAGAGACGTTCAAAGGGAGAAAAGGTCGTTAGAATTTTTGTCATCCAGGTATGTTTTGTGCAAGGTTCACGCAACTTGAAAGTATGGGCCGCCTTGAGGTGGAGGTGGTGGTTGATGATGCGCACCAGGTGGACCATGGTTATATGATTGTTGATAGTTGGTCGGAGGATTTCCGTGACCTAGAAAATTTTTATGCGATTGAATTTGAATTGATCAGATAAAATGACGAATTTAGTATCGAAAGAAGACAGACCATGAGCCCCGGGATAAGGATGAGCATTATCGTTGGTAGGAGGTGGAGGTCCAGTAGGAGGTGCCCAGCGAGTCCTAATAGTATGTCAGAAGAAATTAGATTACTGGGTTTGAAGAATCGTTCACGTGAAAGGCTCACTGAGTCGGGAAGGATCCGGAGCCGTTTCCTATTGGATGAGAAAGTCATTTGAGCAAAGCAGATTCCAAGTTCGCATGCAAAGTGGCCTTTTCAAAGATAATGACAAACCAGCTGGTGAGCCCCATTGTGGTGGCGGAGGTCCTGGAGGTGCTGCCCATTGAGGTGGTGGAGGTCCTGAAGGTGCTGCCCATTGAGGTGGTGGAGGTCCCTGTGGCGGTGCCCAATGACCGCCTCCTTGACCATTTCCGTACGAATAATTTGCCATTGATAGTGGTCTTTGGAATGTATGAATCTGAGTTTGATGATAAGTTGATGATGATAAGTTTGAAGGATGAGTGATGAATGAAGTGTCCCTGTGAAATGGTCTTGATGCTCAGCCTCAGTTCGATAGAAATCCCAAAATACTTTCTCTGAGAGTCCGACCCGATAGATCTTTTCCCACAGCCTATCACAGCACTCAGCAGTCGTCAAGTGATCAATTTCACTCGGCTCGGCATACGGTATACCTCGGCATTCTCCGGGTAACTGGAGTCATGAGCATTTTTTTTGCAAACTTGCCCAATTTAGGATTTCTGAGCCAAATTCCAATGCGTCATCATATCCATCAATCTCAAAACAAGCCCTGAATCACCCTCTCTGAACAGGGTCTCGATCCCTTAAGCCCCTTAATCCGATAACCCTCCAAAGGAGTCAAAGTTGGGCAAACATAGGTAAATGTTGGAGTAATCAAGACGAAGAGCATCTTTAAGGGGATCACAAGGCATTCCAAAAAGGGTTTTATGAGCTGTTCCCTGTACTTTCTTCCAAAGGGTATCGGTCAGCTTTACTACATCAGTTCCTAAGAAGCTTATTGCTTTCAAAATCGCAAAAAAAAGTCGAAATCTAATTTTTAATCAAACGTTTTGCCCCATGAAAAGATAGGCCTTGACACCTCAGCTTTTTGATTTTAATTTTGGGAGGAACAACATTAGGAGCTATGGTAATAAAAACTTAAGGGAAAGAGAATAATGTAGAAAAATTGGAACCAAGGAGTCAAGAAGAAAAGACTCAGTTAATAAATTGTCTTGTCACACACATCTACAAGCACATTACTGGGTACCATAATTCCTCAATGACCTTTTGTACATACATGATGCGTAGGCCGGGCGGGGTTGAGATTCAGCTCTGGGAGAGTCTCAGATTTCAAACCCCTCAAGCCTCTGGCACAAAAGTTGAGCTTGTGCTCTATGTAGTCTGCCTACTCCTTCAGCTCCGCGGAAACAGGGCTCTGGAGTATCTTGGTTAGTTTTTGGCGCCAAGTTTCCACATTGCACATGTCCATATTTCCCATATCTAGGCTCAGGCAAACAATTGATTCATTGTCACAACTCCAAGCTGTATTTTTTACAATGCATTGTAGGTCAATCCTGCTTTGGTGAAGTCAGAGATCTCCAATCATCGTAACCAAGATTAAGCTCAATCCAGCGGATTGTATCGAAAAACCAGTAAACATGGTGGGTCAATTATGTAGTGCTTATCGCTGATATACACTGCGTTTGATACTTTCCAAATGTGGCAATCTTCACTTATCTTTTCCCTAAAGTATAATAACCAAGACCTTACCGATTTGTGGTAGGTGAATGTGGCGGTTGTATCTCTAAAAAAACAAGGCCGTTCTTTACTATCTATATTGATGTTGTAGAGAGAATCAAGGCAAAATTGCTCATATTTTTCATAGTTGGCCTATGTTTCCTTTGTAAGGAAAGGTGAATATGGAAGTGACCAGAGACATCTGAAAACTGACCTTTTGATGTTGAAAATTTGCATCCTCAAAATGAAGCTCAAGTTGAATGCCTAAAGAACCTTTACTCAGCGTCAAAAAATGCTGATAAGATAAGATAGTTTATCATAATTGCCATTCAAAACCAGTAATGAGCCTATTGTGAAAACAAGACAAAGTATTCATGTGAATTAAGTATGCACTCAACATAAGAAATTCTCAAGAATATGTAGTGAGACTTTGCAGAAAATGTTTGCTTGGGTTTGAAACTATTGATCAAGCAAGCTGCCTCAAGCAAACAACACCACCTCAAGATAGTCAGGCAGATGTAAAAAAATCTTCATTTGGGTGATTACATAGATTCTTGTGATTTACAATCATCTTTGGCATTGTTTGAGTTGTTGTACTCACAAAGGTCACAAATTTCCTTAGTACAAAAATCTCATTGGGCATGTGCATCAAAGTGATTGATCAAAGTGAATAAGTGAAGAAAAATGTCTTCATTGGTTTGTCTGATGACTAGTTTTCAATCTCGTTCAAGTAGCTTCAACAAATTCTCTGGTTTCACAAGATTCAGGATCCCATTGTTTAGAAATCCTACAGATACAGTTACTCTCGATAAGTCAAGAGATTTTTCTTCTCAATTTTCCAGCATGCTAGATGACCAAGGAGTCGGGATTCCTTTTCGCTGACAATCTAAATTGCTTTACAAATGCCACAGTCTGAAATAAAACGAAATGAGATTGGTTTTTTCAGTCAAGTAAGTTATTTTACATAGTAGAAAGAAAGAATTTTCACTCACGCATCCTCTTACCAGCATTGGCATCATAAGGGCATGTATAATGTGCACCCCCAAGATTAGTACAACCTGGTAAACATTTCACATTAATAGAAGAAGATAGTTTCAATGGTGGATTTTGATAGACACGAATGATAGTGATACCAAGGGTTGGAAGATACTGACTGAAAGTTGAACCACGGCTTTGATAGTAAGCGCATTTTTGTTCACTTGTCTTTTTATCATTCACTCCGTTGTGGGTACAACCAGTCATTGGAACATATCGATTAGCTAAGATGTGATATATCAAATAGATATTGATGAATCAGCTTTAACGTGAAATGGCAACATTGACAAGCCAATCAGGATCCAGTGTGGTGAACTTCTTACAATTATAAGAGCAAGTGTCCAGCACGCACAGTCCTCCTCGGGGGAACCCTACGCAAACTTTGTTAATGTGATCGATGAGGCAAAGCGATTGGGGTTAGCCAGTCTGGATGCAAATGATTCTGAAGTCATAAAGTAAAGGAATACGTCTAATGATTGCACTCACGTCCCTCATTTTCTTGTAACGTGAAGCTGCTACAATCAGCAGGGAAGGTTTCGGGAAACGGATCTTTGGCCAAAACCTTTGAATCGTGAAACCCTAAAGATAATACCAAGATTGAGATCTTGAGGATAGCTTTGAGCATTTTAGGTATCGCAGAGAGACGTAGACAAATCTCAATACTTTGATCAACGATCAGAAGGGGAGCGTAACCGTATCAGTCTTTTTCTGAGACTAACTCGCTCTGAGACTATCCTGAGACAAACAAAAAAGTAAACCGGATGGTGGCTTTTTGTACACTGTCTGTACAGGCTGGTGGCAACTGGTACATATGTATGAAGACTTGAACAAATTCATCATTAAGACTTCAAAGAAGCTGTTAACACTTCGATAACCTCATCAAGAATCAAGAACCTTTGTCGAGTCATCCATGTGCACCTTATATCTATACCTTCAGACTCACTCCAATCCCCCTGAAACATTGTCAAGGGGGTTCTATCGCTACAACCACTTACATATCAAAGTATTGATAATGAAGCAACTTACAAAACAACAAAATGTTATTGGAACAAGCTACTTTGAATGAAAGTAGCAAGCAAAACCGATACAAGAAAAACAATGCATTGTCATCGGAGCGAGATACTTTGATGTAAGAGGTTTCTATCTGTTGCGTTGTCTTGATTTCTTCAAAAACGACTCAGTCGCCATCTTTTCAAACTGTCTCTTTGTATGTATAATCTTCACGAAAAGGACTCGATATCACTTCTTTTCAACCAACCTAAAATGCTTCCAACTTCTGCTTTTCAAGACATCTCATTTTGCATTTTATCAACTCGATCGTCTTTTGTATGTATTATTTTTGACCAATGAAATTGACCAATGGATGTCTAGATGTTCTGTAGTTGGTGGAAGGCTTATAAAGAGAAGGAAGCGCCATGCGAAAAAAAACGCGCCACACAGACCGGGATTGAACTATACCTGTATGTCTCACTGCTTCTCTCAGGTAGTCTCAGAGAAAGACTGATACCGCATCTCTCCCATCAGAAGGTAAGGATGAGTAAAAAGGATAGGCCAAGAGGAACCAATAGGGGAAACAGCCTACAAGACCTGAGCTCTTGTAGAAATATTTTCTACAAGTCAAAGCAGCAGGCGTTCAACGGAACCACATTTCAACCTCTCGGCGTTGAAATTAGTGGCACTGAAGGGTTGGAACTTGGAAGGCCTGTGCAAGTGCAAGAAGAAGAATTGAAAGGGTCGACGTAGTTCTGTGCGGGCTGGGGTAAACTTAACAATGTCGCCTCGTGGAAGAAAACTGAAGAAAATTGACCAAAAGAATCAAAATCATATTGTGTAAGTGTTTGGGCGCGGACGCGGACGCGCGAAAGGCCCTGCTGGGCCCTGTGGAGAGGACAGCACATTTTCTTTTTGGGTGGCGGGATGTGTCACTTGGGTTTCTTAGGGGTCTGACCCTGTTTAGCTATGGCTACTCTCTGGTGTAGCTACGCGGGAACCGCCCTGGCCGTAGGCCGGGGCACATGGAACATTTTTCATATGGGTCGCCCCTTGGGGAGGTCCAAGGACAAATGAGCAGAAAACACAAGAAGCAAACAATAAAATCAAAGGAAAACAACCTGGAGACACATGAACTCTACTGATACAGCCGTTGTAATATCTACTGGCAGATTTTTGAAAAGTTGTGTCGTCGCCAGATTTAATTTTTGAAGTCAAAAACTCGAAAATTATGTCACTTTGAGAGTAACTCAATTGTTCTTGTGCTAGATCTGACCAATGGGCAGTAGAGTTATCAGTCTCAAAAGGGTTTTTTGGAGTTTTTGACCTCTACATTAAATCTGGCGACAACACAATGATCTAAAAATCTGCCGATAGATCTTACAACGGCTGTAGTTAAGGGAGACGCGCGAGGGGGTCGGGGAGAGGCGTGAGAAGCGACCACGTAGGAGGGCCGGTAGACTACAGGATCCGGGGGACGCCTGAGAATTCTCTGAGACTCTGAGAATTTGAGAATGACCCCGCATAACCCATGAGTATATGGCTTGTATATGGTTTTATGCGATTCTCGTTTTCTGATTTTGGACATGCCTTATGCCTTTTGGACACGTACTACTACACGTGTGAATCCTTCCTTCCACCATGACACATGATGGGACACACGTGTGACAAGGGTCAACCCTCCGTCCATTGATGGACCAAGTTCACCGAATGACTTACCAGGAGCAATCTATGTTTCATAGTATGCTACTCATCGACTATTCATAGTATGCTTCTCATCGACTTCGTGGCCCAAATGTCGGCAACCAGTGCTCAACTCAGCAACACCCTCACAGTCACCGATTTCGTACGCTTCATGACCTTGGCGTCAGAGGTCAACCATATTGCTGGAAATGCCATCCGTCTAACACCACACCGACCAACTGTGCTACCATTCCTCACGACAGCCCTTTCTCCCAAGTTTCCCGACCAACTCATACACGATCTATGGACGTTAGCTTTTCCTCTGTTACCTTCGGCACGGTTTGACCCCAAAGGCGCCATACGCTCCCTGGGCCTTCAATTCAAACTACCTGAAAAGTTCTTACGACCGCCGGTATCTCGATGTATTGTTTGCCCTGCAGCACGTAACTTACACGTCCATATGCGTTTGGATGGTTATCTTTTTGACACGGATGGGGTGCACACAGTACAAACGGTCATCCTCGATTGCCCCGGTGAGGCTCGAAAGTCTGGCTCTCCATAGGCAAGGCAAAAAACTGACTCAAATCTTCTATCAGGCTGTGGTTCAACTTTTTGCCCCAGTTATTACACAACCGATAAACATAGACACTATTATACCTTGGCACAGGGACGTGATGTCGAAATTCTCCACGTCCATTGTCACTACTACATGACAAATCGCCTGGGACACCTTTTCCGGGTCATACAAATGCTGGCTCAGTAGGTCTACTCGTTCAAATGTCTGTCTTCATGCATGTATTTGAAACTAATAAACTTGACCTGACGCACATTCTTAGTGTCTCCCACTTCAACCTGACAAACTGGTACAACGAGATCTATGTGGAAAATATGGATGTGCCTCAGTTTGGATCAGCGCAGGTCTTTACGCCGGCTTTGTCTGAGGCCGTGTGCCTAGACGGCCTCGAGCTATGTGACCTTCTCGAGCACGAGGATCGGAGGGGAAACCAAGTCGTACTACCCGCGAGTGGAACCAACAGTGTTTGATTTGACGACGCTATTGCTTCCCATCTGGAGCGTCTCGACGTCGAAGGCACCAGCTTCCGTGATCATTACTGCAGTCGCTGCGTTTGAGTAAAATTGGGTGGCGTGGATCCTGAGACAGGGGAAGAGATATTTTATGGTGGGTCATTTTGTTTTTCAATCTTGATCCTCTGGTTCTGATCTGAAATCACGGTACAACACTTTACATTGATCCAGGTATTCGAGCGGTGGTAACTGATGGACTGACTATTGGGCACTGGCGATGCAGTGCCACAACTGACCAACTCGAGGAGATAGCGAGACAGTCTGGACAACCACGCCCTGAAGGCCCCTGCACCAAACCCCTGGACAACATCAATGATTGATTCTGTGCCGTACATCAATCACTGCTTGGCAAACGATGTCACGTACAACCTTGCCGAAGAGATACCATTCCGGATACCAAAACGTGTGACCTGCAAGCCCACATAGACGCGTGGGCTAAGTTCACTGACCGGGTCAAATCCAACTTCTCCCTAACTGCAATTCTTAATAGACCGGGTTCCAATCTCCCTTCCGATCCAACAGTCCACCTTGACGCCGAAACTGGCAAGATTAAAGATGATGATGGTTTACGCGAAGCTGATGAGTCTAGCCGTGCCCACGAGGGCGCTCGAGACGGGGGTGCATCGCAAGCTCATACCAAATTGGTAGTATCAAGGTGCCGTACCCACAACGATCAACTTGTTGTGGGGTGTTGTGGAATCATATTGGCCAGAAAAACCTTTTATCACTCGGAATTGGTGAGTGCTGTCAAGGTCAGTTAGCTCTCTTTTGTTCGCTTTTGAGAAAACTATTTATTAAGTCGATGATTCTCCCGATTCTTTCAGTTTTTTTTGGAAGAGACCTTTCCTCAAGGTATGCCGGAGGTAGTATTTTACGACAACACTTGTCGTCTAACAGAACACATATACCACGGAAATGGCGAAACCACCCGATTTCAAGGAACGGTAATCCCTGTCGACCCTTTTCACCACCGGTCTCATGCTGAGAGTGATGAGTTTTGCAAGCGTTTCACGAATCCCAAGCTCTTCCCCGATATACAAGAAGATGGTAAATGGGTCTTCAATGCATCAGCGGCTGAACTGACAAACATCTGGTACGGGGGTTTTGCGTCAATGTGTCGTAGCATGCATTCCCTTAGGTATAATTTCTTCTTGGAACAAATGGTCCATCTGCGCAATGTTTGGCTCTCGAAGAAATTGAGCAAGCGCAAGGGAATGGAATTCATGGGGAATGGTTTTATTTAGGACTTTAACTAACTCTACAATAACACAGGTACACGTTGTAACTACATATTTTTAACGTGATATAATACATGCTTTTATGAATGTGTTTTCCCATATCAACAAAAATAAAATAGATAAAATGCTATTTCATGGCCGTTGCTATTTGCAGCCCACAAGAAAACCATGTAGGCGCTGGCCAAATTACGCCTACATGGGTGTTTCCCACAAAGAAGCGCCTACATTTATGATGTAGGCGCTGGAAACCATCCAAAATGACGCCTACATGTCAAAAAACCCATGTAGGCGTCATTTGGTTACGCCTACATTCAAAAAATGAAATGTAGGCGCTATTTTCAAGCGCCTACATGGGAAATCCAATGTAGGCGCCCAAAATTTATGCCTACATTTTTAAAAATGAGTGCATACATTCAATTTTCAGCTCAAATAAGCGCCTACATGCAGTCCTGCATATGTAGGTGCTACAAATCCGGCAACTACAACTCCAGACTGGTCTGAAGGGTAATGAAGAAATGCATTGACGGACCCATTTGATTATAATGGAATAAAGTGAACGACTACAGTTTTGGGTAGGGGGACTTTGTAGGCACTCAGTATCACTGATTAATGCAAGTATATACAACTGTTCATTCTCTGGATGATCCGATGTGAACTCTGGGTCTAGGCAACAAGGACAATGCTATGGCTGAGGACCTGGTTGGTAATAATGGTTTGAGAGAGCCAATGTAAGAAAATTGGACGTCCGTTTTGAGACAACGATGTAAATCTCACCTGAACAATGAGTCAATTAGATTCCTGGTCTTGGGACACAACGAGGCCTTCGAACATCATCACGGTGTTCACTTCTATGTCCTCCATCTCGGATAACTCCGGAGAAAAATGCCCAAAGCGATAAGTTATCGCAAAGTGCAACACGGTTCTCTCCTAAGTAAGAAATAAAAGAGTTAAGCAAGAAACAGTAGGAGACGAAGGGTTTAACCAAGACGCTTACTTCCGGGTCAAAGATATCATGTTCAGCTTCGACCGTAAGGTGCCAATCACCATCATCGTTGACATTGTCCCAAGCGACCCTAAGAACTCTTCCGGTGGAACTTATATAGGCTTTTTCAGCCAGCTCGGCTTGTCGAGGAGGCACAGTGGCCACCAAACTTTGGGTAATGTAGCTGTGCTTGATGAAAGCGCCGCCCACGGGGTCAACTCCCACCGGACCATGAATGTGATAAGTTTGTCCACGTATTAGCACGTCGTCGGCCATGAGCAAACCATATGCTTTGAGGGGGCAGACCATGGGCTGGCCTCGCACGCCTTTCAAGATCAATTTGGTTTTGCTCTTGTGCCAAGCGGAACTGCCATCAGGTAAGCGCAGGCGCAAAAGCGTCGCCTAATGGAAAGGATTTGGTCAGCTTGCAGAAGTTGCAGCGTATAAATGCAAACGCGTATAAATGCGAACGTATAATAGATGAAAGGAAAAGTTTGTCGTACATCGCTGGTCGCCGTTAGAATTGCTGAAATCTTTGCCGTGAGTTGGGTCATGCTTTTCGAAGCTGTTCAGGATGCTGTAAGTAGACTGCACGCTAGAAACGAGTTATATTTATATCAGAGCAAGCATTCAGGTGGCGGTCAGCGGGAATGTAGTGAGTGGAAATGTTTCACGTCGAGTCCAGCAGGCTCATTGTGGGGCCTCAGGGTCCCAAAGATGACGCTAAGGGTAATAGGGGTAGTAGGTATTTATTACCATTGATAGGGTTGGGCAAGTTTGGAAAGGTAAGATATTCGATTGTGGTTTCTGAAGCAAGTAGAAAATTTTGAAACGCATGGTCTACTCTTACCTGGAACACTTCTGACTCAGGGACATTTGAAATAGGTAAGTGTTGCGTTCAAAATACGCAAAAACAATGGTGGAATTAATTCAAATATTGGATTGTCAACTATGGGTTGAGATTGAGACTAATGACAACGGTAGAAAGATCAAGCTCAATTAGATAATGTTCTATTCCTTTGTGCCGTGTGCAATTGTTTGGAACTCCTTTTTGAACAGGATTCGTGCTTCGCCGACAGTCGCCTGGGGAAACTTGCTGTACTGGCGAAAGAACCTGTCGTAATCGACCTTTTCTATCCACACCCTGTACCTGTAGACAGTGGACACTGCCAAAACCCACTCGTTGCCCCAAAAGACCTTCCATGCTTGTAGGGGAGGCTGTGTCTCACACTTCTTGTACCACGCAAGCAGCGTGGAAACAAGCACGGATGAAGAGGGCCACTTCTTTTTCAGAACGTTTGCTGAAGAAGTCAATACTGGCAAGGGGTTTGTCGAAGGGTTTGTTGAAGGGTTTGTAGAAGGGTTCATAGAAGTCAACGTGAGGACACCAGGTATCTAAGATGGTCATAGGAAGATGTAATTTGATGTGAGTACGAGTGCCACTCAGTTGTATATTGCGACTCACGGTTTGGTCAACTCCTTCCCGTTCAATCAGCGACTCATCAAAAGGATCAAAAATTGGGAGGTCTTCAGATTGTTCACGTTTGATGTGGCGTTTGGCCGGATTGGTGACAATGTGACTCTTGATGACCTCGATCTCGTCGGATGCCTCGGAATCTGGTGAGCTGGCCCGTTTGTCGGCAAAGGTAGTCTTATATGATGTGACCACAATCACTTCGTCATCGTCATCAGATTCGGGATGTGCTCCAGCGCTGAATGGCATAGTTGCCGTGCTAACTCGTGATGGTTTGGGGGCGTTCACAGGCGTGCGGGTCGGCTCTGCCGGTGGATTCGGGATGACAGCTGTAAGACTCTGAGCTGTAGGTATTTGCCTGGCCTTGGGTTGTGGCAAGCCGGGGGTTTTAGGATCCACGTGCTGCGACCGTACTACGACCAGTTTAACGTCCTTGGGGTACCTGTGAGGGAAACTCACCATGGCTTCATGCTGACGTGACCCATATCAGATTTGACGAAAGATTTATATATGTGACAAACAAATGTTACCTACCCACGCGTCAATCCTGTCATCCCAGAAAGACAGTGCTCGATTCCATGTCGGTCCCAATGCCTGCGTGCATGCTTGCATGAGGAGGCTTGATTCATCAAGCCTTGCCTTCGGCCATGACTCAAAATGGGCCGCAACAACATTGGGTTGTTCAGCCTGCCTGTGGGTCAGCTTCAGGCGGTTGAGAGGTATGTGAAAACAAGGTCAAGGCAAACTACCCACATTGAGCCATAAGAGGATCGTCACAACTTTCGCCTCATTGTATTTGTTGGCGATCTGTCGTTCAGCTGCTTGGTATCGCTCGCGGCGGTCGTTTTGAATGTTGGTCACCGTTTCGACTCCTAAGCGGCGGCCAAGGGTGCTGGCAGTTTGGGCCCATTGGTGAATTCGACCACCTCCTGTTCGAAGTCGTCCTACTTCAGGTGTTGGTTGAGTCGATGTACTAGCAGCAGCCGAAGTGCTAGTACTCGCGGTGAAGGGTTGAGAGTGATCAAGATGAGGAGGTACCGGTTCATCCATGCGGTGGTGGCCAGTACCAGAACCTCGAGTATGCTTGGAACACGCCCCCAAGCCATACTCAAGGCAACACTGATACCATTGAGTGAGTTGTAAGTAATTGAGTCGAGAGATTCTAGAATGGTAAATTGGTAATTACCGATTGACAGTATTGGTAAGGGCACCCTTTGTTCCCAGTCGTCCGATGATTACGGGCGACAGGCCCCCGTGATGGTCTCTGACAAGGATACTTAACTTTCGCACGTATGGGTCCTGCAAGGGAGTCAATCTGAGGTGGTTCGGGTGGGAGGATTGGAGTCTGTCGGCCTAAGAAAGGGTGAGCTTCGACTTCGACAATCGGGTTGAGCAGTTCTGCGAGCCGATGGGAAGCCCGGTTTGTATTCCCTCGTCGGGTGGAAGGGTTGGTCACTGGCTTTGGTTGCAGAATGACCCCGGAAGGTGATATTTGTGGGCCCCAGTCTAAAGGCACAGAAACAATCGGACGGGGTACTCCAGCGTTGATTAAAGCGTGTTCGTGATTGAATTGATCGCAACACCATGTTCTCCAGTTGTGCTCATTTCTTGGACGTTGCGGACACTGAAAAAAGCAAGAAAAGTATAGCGTTACTCACTTTAACTCATTTTGTTCTTATGTATCTATTGGTTTGGTTGTTGATAGTGGAAACGACTTACATGGATGGTCCAAGCATCCTCTCTGGCCGCGAAATAACGGAGAGGCGTGGGACATTCAGGACAAAGGATGCCCACTAATGCACCTTTCGCTGGGACGGGTAGGTATCCTTCCTTGATGAAGCGGTAATGTTCGTGGATCAGGGTGGCCACAACCATGATTGATCGAGTCGGTGGTCGTTCGTGAAAAGCCGTCCGTATTTTGGTGAAGTATTTTCAACCATTGTATTTGATAGTTGAGTGAAAATTTTGGTGATTTCCTTTTTGGGCGTGTTGAAACAGACTGGCCAGAGGGTCGATAGAGGTGTCGAGTCGAGCGCTATTGAGGTGGTGCTTATTCTATTGAGGTGGTTCTTGGTTGGTGACTTATATGAAACACAGAGGTGTGAGGGAAATGTCATGGTCAGTTGTGAAGTGTGTGACAGCGCGGGGGGGTGTAAAGGTGTGTGACACGTTAGGAATATGGCTGGCCTTAACGTAACGTAGGGTTTTGTTTAGGCCTCAAATATGCTTATAGGTATGATAATACCGGGGGTGCTGTATTCTCTGATTCTCACAAAATTCTCATTCTCAGATTCTCAGGAGCAAAACCCGGATCCTCTGGTGCTCCCTAGGAGGGCCGAGAGAGAAAAAAAAGAAAGAAAAAGAAAGGAAAAATTATGGATTCCACTATTTCCAGCCCCATCTTGAAGTATCCGGAGCCCCCTTGTTTTCGGGGTGATACCCGCGTGACCCGATGGTACCCGACTTCCCTCAGCCAAAATTTGGCCCAGTCGGACCATTGGGACTGCAAGCATGGGCTCATTCACACATCAAAGCCCTCATTTGTCCAGCTCTGCGCCCTATAGTTCTTGATAGGGCATCTTAATTACAAAAAAAGACACAAATAGGGCAACCTCATCCCATAATCAATCCAAAGGGGCTACTAATACGTTTCGCGCCCAAACCCAGCCCCTACCACCACAGTCCATGGCCATGAGAGATACACCAAAGGCCATATATACACCTTGTCTTTGGTCGATGCTCCCTTTTCCTCTCTGTCCGCTTTATACTTCACATCTCAATTGACAAACAAACAACAACCACAAATACTGCTTCCTTACAGTTTCACTCTGAATTCTGCCCCACAATACAATTCAAACCATAACTTAGTTGAAATGTCCACCCCCCACCCACCTGCAAATCCTAGTTCCCCCAATGCTGTACAGCAGCCATTGATTCATCCGAATAGTGATAATAGCTCCGCACCGTCGACTCATCCTTTGAATCAACCTCAACCCAGCAACTGGTACCCTCCGTCTCCATCTGGTCAATCGTATCCTCAAGCTCCGCCAGGTTTACCCTACCCTCAACCTGGTCACGCGTACCCTCATCAATCCTCCAATCCTCAATCTCAATCTCAAACTGCTCAAGCTCAAACGTACCCTCCCGCGCATTATCATCATCACCAACATCAACCTCAACCTGGTCAAACGTATCATCCTCCTGTGTCTTATCCTCAAATTCAACCTACCCAGTATCATCCTCCTGCGTCTTATCCTCAAATTCATCCCCCCAATCAACCATATCATCTTCCTGTGTCTTATCCTCAAAGTCATCCTCCTCACAACCATCCGTTTCATCCTCCTGTGTCTTATCCTCAAACTCATCCTCCTCACAACCATCCGTTTCATCCTCCTGTGTTGTATCCTCATCATCCTCCTGTGGCGTATCCTCAAAATCCTGCGTTGTATCCTCAACAACCCCAACCTGGTCACTCATACACCTCGCATGTTCAACCAAGCATGCCAATACATGTTGGAAATCCTATCAACGCGACTCAACCCGCTCAATCGCAACCGAGTCACTATTCCTATAATCAACATCAAATCAATACCCATACTCCCATTTATGCTCCACCTAGTGTTGAATCAAGCGTTGGAACCACCCCTATCATCGGAATCAATCAAGTTACTCAAGTCACTCCAACCAAAACTGCCATCGACCACCCCGAAATGGCCATCGATGGTGTTGATGACGAAGTAGTCAATGATCTCGCGGATGAGAGAGATGCGGACTGGCCCCCAATAGGTACGTGCCATGACTCTTGAACTCACTTTGGGTTACGTGAAGCTGATCAGCATCTTCTATCTATCCTAGGCGCTATACCTGTACGCTTGCTTAGTGGTCCAAAAGTTGGTAAACAATTCATCGAAATGCAAAACGGCTTGATGTACCTGAATGCGGTATCTAGATATCAAGGTTATGCTCTTGCGACTAAGAGTCATAAAACTTACCATGAACAAACAGTCCGAGTTTATCTCAGGTGTTCCCTAGGCGACAAAGTCAAAACCACAGCCGAAAAAAGGTCAACCTCATCCAAAAAGACCGGCTGTCTTTTTGAGGTTTTGCTCAACTATCGTTCTGGCGTTGACCGGTGGATTGTAACTCAGAATGAAGACAAAATGAAACACAATCACCCGGCTTTTGAGAAACCCCACAACATGTCTATCTACCGACGCTTCCCTCCTGAAGTGAGAGATCAAATCGACACGTACTCTTCTGCTGGCTGTGGAGCAGCCCAAATCAAGTCCTTACTCAACATTGATCCCGACTCTCAACCCCTTGTCCGTGATATTCACAACGTCCGGTACCGTCAGAGGGACAACTGGCTGCACGGTCAAACACCCATTCAAGGGTTATTCGACTTAATCACAGCTAGTGGATGGGCTCATCGGACTCTCACCTCGGAGAACGGTGTCCTCCAGAACCTATTTTTCGCCAGTCCTTCAGCAATTGTCTTAGCTCGAAGATTTTCAACTGTACTCAGTCTAGATTGTACATACAAGACAAACCGATTCAACTTACCACTTTTACACGTCGTTGGAACTACAAACACCAACAAAACCTTCACCGTGGCCATGTGTTTCTTGAACAGCGAAATCACGTCACAGTACAAATGGGCCTTGACCCAGCTGAAGGAAGTCATATTTCAGAATGAGGACGAAAGTGTTACGGTTCCATTGCCCGAGACTTTTGCAACTGACGCTGAACCGGCTCTCTTCAATGCGATTGCAACGGTCTTCCCCGAGTCAACCCACATATTATGTGTTTGGCACATCAATATCAACATTGCGAAAAATTGCAAGAGTAAATTTTCTGAACCTGATTGGACAGCATTCATGAAACTATGGAACACATTTGTTGCATCGTCTACACAAGAAGATTACAATTCAAATCTTGATGTGGTAACCAAAGTTGCCAAAGCCCACAATGTCTTTAACTACCTCAAGAGCACGTGGTTGAGAAGAACTGAAAAATTTGTCAATTTATACACCTTGAGGACCCATCATTTCGGAAACTCCTCCACTTCTCGAGTTGAAGGAAGTCACTATCGAGCCAAACGGTTTCTAGATGGACGTAATAACGATTTTCTCACTTGTTTCAATGCTTTCAAACAATTTGAGGAGCATCAATCCAGCGAACTTGCAGTTTCGGTGGGTATCGAAATGACGAAAACACTCGAAGGAATGCCCATATTCTTCAAGGAACTCAACGGTGTAATATCTCATTTTGCACTCAAAAAACTCAAGGTCCAGTATGATTTGTTACCCGAATCTCTCGAAAAACCGTGTACTCATACGTTCAGAGGTGCTTGGGGCCTTCCATGTTCACATGAGCTGGCCCAAGCTCGTGATCAAAGAGACTTTCTTTCTTCTGATCTTATTCATACCCAGTGGAAGCTGGTCATTCAATTAGCTCCCCAATCCCACGAAGGACTTATCGCTGCAGCTCGTGCCAAATTCAATCACCTGATTGAGCTACCGGAACACGCTCTTTGGAAACTCTTTGGTGAACTCGGACTCCTTGAAACCGGCCGATACTCACTGGTTCCGATCCTCAACGCCGTGGTGAAGACAGACACCCAAGGACGCCCTCGAGCAACCATCAATGGCAAACGACAGGCATCACCTGAAGGTCGATGGAAATCCCAAATGGAACTTGAGGAAGCTAAGAAGCGGCCTCGCATCAACAAGTGCAGCCTTTGCTCTACCCCAGGCCACCAAATTACCACTTGCCCTCTTCGTCTAACACCATCTTCATCAGCTCCATTGACCAGCAGAATCATCGGCATGGAAGAAGTAGATGATGATGCCTCAGATTCTGAATCAGACGTCAAAGACAACTCAGAATCTGATTCAGATGCCTACGTCAAAGTGAACCTGCCATACGATGATTCTGACAACTCTCCTGACGAATATTCCGAATCCGAAGACAACTTGTGTCCCTTCTGTGATGACCCCCTACCTCCCCAACCTTCGGCCAAGCTGAGCGCATTGAAGACAACACTCCTTGAAATGCCCAACGTTCGCAAGGGCATTGGCCGAGCGGGTGCTATGTCACTTCCGGTGAGTTCCTTTTCGTTGTTAAGTTTCTTGTATGAAAATGATTGCTCATGTGTTGCTTTTATTCATTTTGATACACAGTTGGGCCAAACTGCGGAATTTTGCCATTTGCATCAAGCTGAACTCGAGATTATCCCTGATGGTGTCAGCCGTGGTTGGCCCACCGCAATTGAATTTGATAAATTAGAAGAGTGAGTAGTTGTCTTTCATTCACATTCCTGCGTCAATCTTGTGCTGACTTTCTTTTCTGCTTTGTGAATGACCTCAAGCCGCATCAAGAACCACACATCGTGTCTAAGGCAAATAATTAACAACGTGGAAGTGTCTACTTATTTCGAAGAAGCTCAGAATAACAGAAAAGGCAAGAGTAGATTTATGGGTGACATAGATAAATTCGAGGTCGAGCAACCTGGATAGTGAGTCTACCAACATCTATTTCACTTTTCTACACTTACTAATATTTGTCAGTGGTTTCAGTTATGGTTATCAAGGTTTTGAAATCATTGTGAACACGCTTGATACTATCTTTATCAAAGCTGAAACCCCGGAAAACCGTCTTGACGCACACAAAGCATCACCTTTCCCACCGGAAACCTTTCTGCGACAGGTGCTTATTCCCGAGGTGACACTGTGTTTAATTGGTGAAGACCTCAATTTAGACCAAAAGGATCCTAAGGTTAAAGCCACTTTGGAATCGAGCCGTGCTTTTGGCGCTGCAGTATTTCCACTTCCCGATGATTCTCCTTCGACTGCACCAAAGAAGCCGAAGCGATTGCCATTGGTCAAGCATGAGATTCAACACGTGTCGAAGAACACCAAGGTGAATGTCTTGAAGGTCAATCCGGACGATAAAATCTTTGTGAAGAAACTCCCCAAGGTCATCGCTCCATACATCAATTCAGTTTTCAACCCACCGGTCTATGGGAACTGTGGCTATTTTGCCATTGCACATGCTCTCAAACTAGATAGCGCGGATTCCTACGCCCTAGTCCGCCATCAATTGCATGAGGAGCTTTCTTTCTACAGGGATGATCATGAACAGCTAGTGTCTACGTCTACTCCAGGAGCCAACAATTCCGGAAATACTCGAAGGAAAACTCGGCAATCAAAACATTACGCTGCCGAAATCATTGACGATCTGCTTTATCGAACCCAACCGCAAGGGCCAATATGCACTCCGGATTTCTGGATGCGAATGCCCTACCTGGGCTTTGTAATTGCAAGTGCTTACAAGTGCCCCGTTGTCTGTTACGATCCACTCGAAGTCAATTCATACACGTTTTTCCCGTATCACACACCTCCTAACGACAATGATCCTATCATCCTAGGCTTTGTCAACGGCGACCATTTTCACTGCAGACATTATTCGGGTTCCCCAAGTGGGCAGGGAAAAATGATTGGGAGTATGATTTGTCATAAAATGGTCTATCACTCCACACCTGAGCCATAACACCCACACTACATATGTGTAGCAGGCTCAGTGAATATGTGGTTATCATGTACATACAGTTCTGCTCAGTTATCTGCTCATCAGGACAAGTTATTCATATGTAATACATGCTGTAACTTCTTTCAGATTGAAAAAAGCTTCCAAAAGATTGACTACATACACTGACTCAATGTTTTGGTGTGATCTCATCAACTCAACTGCATGTAACACACTTTCTGTTACTAAGACATAGCTTCAACAATATTGCCTGAGCAGCTACAGAATTATATGTAGTGAATTTTTGGGAAAAAAATTTCAAAGTCGAAAAAGTTACATGTGGTATAACATGTGATTTATTTATTCTGATGGGCAAAAAACTGAGCAGACCTGTATGTACATGATAGACAACTATTGACTTAGCTTGCTGCACATATGTAGTGTGGGTGAAATGGCCCAGGTGTGCAGTATTAGATTCTTTTATGAAAAACTGTACTATTAATCATTTTCCTCTGCCAAATTGGGGAAGTTGAATGATGTTTACAGTGTTTGTTAGTTTAGGTTACGGGCCGCGTTTGGTTCCTTTTCCGGAGGTATTCAACGTCAACCACACAACCACATTCAGACCACAAATAACGGAGTGGATAAGGATGTATCAAGTTCAAATGGGTTGGTGGTCAAATCGAGGAAATTGAGTTTGGCTTAGTCATTGCTTGGTTTCGTTCTTGATTTATATGTTCTCTATGTTCTCTCAATTCTTGTTACACACTCTCTCACTCTCAATTATGCTGTTCTCTCAATACTTGTTACGCACTACTCATTTCTGCTATGTTGTGAGAAATTTCTCTATTTGTATGCTATGCGATTACTTATGATATGCAACCTATGATATGTTTATGCCATTCTTGCGCCACGCTTGGCTTATAGGAGCATAGCTTGGTTTGGTTTAAATCGCACGTGAGGCTTCTCACCCAAACGGCGACATAGCTAGGTTTGGTTTAACTCGCTCGTGAGGCTTCTTACCCAAACAGCGAGGCATCTTGGAAGCCCTTTTTTGCCCTTTTTTTTGCCCCCTTTTTCAAAATGGGGCTCCCAAACTCAAGTAGCCCCGTGTCCGGCCCCGGTATGGGGCTCCGGATACTAATCCGCGGGCTGGAAATAGTGGAATCCAAAATTATTAGTGAGAGAGAGAAAAAAAGCCATACCTAGCTACCGAGAAGAAGAGAGGAAATTGTAATTAAAACTAGACAGCTATACGAAAGAAAGTTTTTTTTTTTTTTACTTATCTGAGAGGAGAGGATGAGAAAACTGGGCCAGAGAGAAAGCTAGAGTAAATGTTTTTTTTTTTTTCGTTTCTTGTGTTGGCTTGGCGGACGGGCGAGACGCCAAGAAAGAAGGTACGCGGGTGGGCGGGATTTCGTGTGACTACACCCAGAGAGCTAAGGAACAGGGTGGGAGGATTTGTCTTGGTAGGTAAATCCGAGTGATACGCTGCCTGTCGAAGGATGAGACGGAAGCCTGCAAAGGGAGCGAGACCGTCTTCTGATCCGGTATCGTGGGCTTGGAGAGCAGGAGGCTTCTGCGCTACTAACCCTAAGCATGATCAACCTGTGGTTGGGAAGGAGGTATTAGGATTAGTAACTTATCCTTCTAGGGTTGGCGTATTGGACTGAGCCCCTCGTGAAACCCTCCGTGACATATCCCACTAGATTAGTAGAACACCAATCACGAGGGATGTGTCACTTGGGTTTCTTAGGGGTCTGACCCTGTTTAGCTATGGCTACTCTTTGGTGTAGCTACGCGGGAACCGCCCTGGCCGTAGGCCGGGGCACATGGAACATTTTTCATACGGGTCGCCCCTTCACCTCCCGCCTAGGCTGAGGAACCCTTTGGGTAAGTGCTGAGAGTGGTGAAGGGGTAGTGAAGAGGGTGACTCGACGTAGAGAGAAAAAGAGTCCGCGACTGGTGCGTTTGCAAAGAACTTACCGAGACTAGTCAAAGATAACCTGCGCCCCCACGTGACCATCTATTGACAGAGGGTGGGCTCTCGTGACTGCCAGGCGCATGATCGGGTGTCCACGTACGTAGGTCTTGAAGGCCTCCGACGACCATCTTCCCAGGTCCTGAATGTGATCCAGTGGCAGCCCTGCTTGTGCAAAGGCGGTGGCGCCTCCCGATCGCATCGAGTGGCCTGACTTCGATGCGTCAAAATAGAGCCGGAACTTGTTGAGAAACCATGAACGTGTTGGAGGCGCTCCTGCCACCGTCAGGAACAGCGGGGTGTCGTCTGTGAAACGTGCGTCCCTGAGAAGCAGGTAGCGAGATATGGAGGTGATGGGGGAAGCTCCGGGGATGTCACAGCTCGCTACGATGACAGTGGTGCCTTGGAAGTAGGGATCGGTCTTGGAGTGGGGTAAGGTGTATCTCCCAAAGTTGCCGCAGCGAGAGAACTTAAACAATGACCGGAGGATTAGCTTTCTCGGGCTTCTGTACGAGATGGTGTCAGGGGTTGTCAGCTCCCCCAGACGGTGGAGCCCGTGGAAACCGACTAGCAACATAGCTGTGAATAGGAGGTCGTCGTATGACAGGAAAGAGGATTGGGATACTTGGATGAGATCTGGAATTGTTAGCGGTTCCTTCCGGGTGATTGGTGTGGAGAACTGTATCTTCACGCCTCGTAGGACCTTACAAACTCTCGGGGAGTTGGTCGCTAGGCGAACTTGTGGGTATATGTGCTCGTATGCTGCCGCTATGGCGGTGAGGTAACCTTGAATCGAAGTGGGGGCTAGGGGTTTGTTGGTGCGCGCCAAAGTTGTTCTGCACACGTCTGAGATATAGGAGTAGATGTTGTCGACTGAAGGTACTGGTGGTATTTTTTCTCAAATGCAGAATTTTAGGAAGGAAGATAGACCTGATTGGTATGAGGCCTTTGTGGTTTGGGCTAGGCTCTGGGCGGCGTCTGCTTCTGCTATAAGAGCGAGGAATTGACGCCTGTTGGTTTGTTGTTCGTCCATGTTAACAACGGTGACCACCGTCCGGGAAGTCGTCGTGATGGGGGATAGGAGAGAGTATTGCGTTGGGTGCTAGAGCCAGCACGTTGGTCAGTTTGTTCCGTGATAGCGCGTCAGCGTATACGTTGCGTACTCCTGGCAAGTGTGCCACTTTGACGTCGGCTTTGGCGGCTACGAGTTTACGTACTATCGAACGGAAGAGCGGCCTGACCAGTGGAATCGGGTTGTGGGACTGGAAGAGGTCGCACACTATCATGGAATCTGAGCATACCAGGATCTTCTTTGCACCCCTTGTGATCGCGAGGGCAATGGCGAGTACTACAGCGCGTAGTTCCATCCAATAAATGTCTCTGGAAGGTGGAGGCATGACGTGGAAGAACCCCTCGTGAGAGTTTGGTATCCAGATGCCTAGGCCCGTGGGGCAAGCGTCCGTCACTAGGATTGCGTCAGCTTGGGAAATGGGCCAGATGGACGCGTCTAGGAACCGCTGTCCTGGTGAATTGTTTATGCTTCTTGCTAACCATCGTAGGTCGTCTTGGACCTCTCCGTTGACGTGTATATGGGCGAATTTTGACAACTTGTTGATTAGCTTGTCCCACGCTGATTGCAGGGCGTGCCGTCCATAGGGAAAGGAGTTGAGACCCCACGAGGCCCAGCCGAGTAGTCACTGCCATTCGCGGAGGCGGTGGCTCGGTGACTTTGTGAACGAGATCAGCGCTTCGACGAGGCTAGCCTTCTTCTCGGGAGAAAGTGCGAAGGATAGAGCTCCCGCGTCGATGTGATGTCCGATGATCTCTAGCTGAGGTCCGAAGAGCTGTTTCTTCCACTCCCAGGGCATGTTGATGGTGTCGAAGAGGAGTAGGAGCAGGGCTTGGTCTAGTGGCACTTCGTGACCTTTGTAATGAGTGAGGGAGGCGGAATGTGCTATGCCCCATGTGTCGTCCATCAGGTTGTTGATTCATTGAACGCCGAGTTTGTGCACTGCGATCCATAGAACTAGTGAGAACACGGAGCACCAGATCTTTGGAGATGCCGCAGATCCGAAGTTCGAACAACGGTCAGCATAGTACAGATTGCCTATTCTTACAATCTGAAGCACTTGCCACTGCAACGCCATCGGCAGGTCGCGATATGCTCTGGCTACGTCGCTTTTCCACAGCAGTAAGTAACCATTGCCTGGCTTGATTTGAGTCATGTAGGGTGCAAAGGAAACAAGCAAATCGTAGTGTACTCTTGCGCACTCCTTGTCGATCAGGTCGTTAAGTGATGGGGCCCCGTAGCTCATGTCTGTGCAAACTCGCACTTTTGATGTGCCGGGTTTTTCGACAATGAGAAGCGGCGAGACTTTCATCCCTGGTAGAAGGTGGTAGAAAGGAGGCGACGGTGTCCTCCGAGTTCTTTGTCTCTAGACTTCTCGAGAGCTTGGGGATGTTCACTGCAGATCCTGTGGTTGGGATGGTTGACTACCTCTGGCGACGGTAAGCTGGCGAATGGCCAGAAACCGTAAGATAGTCCGTGTAGAACGGAGTCCACGAAAGGTCGGTTTGGGTGGTCTTTCAGGAGGTGGGAGAATAGGGGTACGTCCACCGGGCAAACTATCTTGAAGACGTCTGGGTATTGTTTGATGGCGTACTCGGCACACGGATCAGCCTTGATGTCGGGTGGTTTAGGTAGGGGTAAGGCGTGGAGGCTCGAATCTAGCGCGTTTGAGAAGCCTGCTGTGGAAGACCAATCCCACTCTAGACCGCGCCTGAACTTACGCACTGCATTGTTTGCCGCTTCTTGGCTTGATATGGAGAAAGAGACATCGACTGTTAGGGGACAAGTCTTCGCTCTAGTGATTGGGCAGCTCTTCGCCGTTACATGCTGTCTGTCGACTCACTTTGTCAGGCTTTTGTTGACCTCTTTGAGCACGTACTGCTTTACAGGTTCGACGCAGGCTTTAGGACGAGCCGTAGTGCTGCTTCCTGGTGTGGGATGCGTTGCATCCGACGACATCACACACGTTGTGGATGCGCCCGTTTCGGCAGGGGTTGCTGCATAGCCCAACATTCCAATTCCCGCATATCTGTAGATTTGGTGGGGCGTCTTTAGGAACTTGGAGTGATGAAAGGGAGAGAAGCGTCGGGGCTTGTCAGTTCTGTGCTCTTAGGGAGCGAAAGTGAATAGGTTGATTCCTATGGAGCTTGTGCTTACTCGGCTTAATATTGCCGTGCCATAGAGGCCTTGGCGTAGGAGCCGTGGTAGCTTTCCGCTTTGACGCGTGGGTAGAATCCCTATGGGGTCTCGTGCTTGGTGCACCTGAGAGGGGGTTGCGTTGATGCAACGGCGGATTGGGGGGTAGATAGGAGGTGTTCTGGGGGAGGGGAGTGGCACGTTGGTGTGCGGCTCCCGAGGCTGTGGCGATCTGCCTGACTGCGAGGAGGACTGGGCTGTCGAAGTCGCCGAAGGATAGTGCTGGTCTGGTGGCGAAGGCAATGCGTAGTCGTGCGTCGTAATCGACGATCTTTGACCAGTCCCCGTGCTCTTCTGCAAATAGGGCGAGCATATCGTAGATGTGTTCGAGGTAATCGCGCATGTTGTCTTCAGCGCACGGGAAAGCAAAGACAATTGCTTTGCCAATAAGTGCAATGACTTTCCTCCAGTCCCGTTTGGCGGTGAAGAAATGGCGGATGGTGGTGAAGGTGTCTGTGGGTTTGGGCGACTTCTTGGCGTTGTATTCGTCCGGCCAGAGTACCTTGGTTGGGCAGATGTAATGGCCTCGAAGGAGTGCTGGTACCAGGGAGAAAGGGAAACCGAGTGGCCTCCCGGGTTCGAGGTTGAAACGGTCGACTGACACGGTCCAGCCTGCTTTCTTGTACCTGGCCACGCCGTCGACAATTTGCTGGGCGGCGGTAGGTAACGGTCCGGCGATCCGGTTCTTACCTTCTGTGAAAGGAAACTTTTCTGCCACTTCATCTGCGTCGCTTGAGCTGTCAGACGAAGACGAGGATGAATCGCTTGAACTAGAGGATGAGGAATCGCTCTTCTTGCTTCGTCGCTTGTATCTTGACGATTGTCTGCTGCGCTTCTTCCTTCGTTTCTTCTTGGAAGCATCGTCAGCGTTCCGTTTGGGCGGGTTTGGCAGCTCGTCGGCGTCGAGTCCGAGTGGGTCTGGGGCAGGGTTAGAATGATGTTCCGCTTGTTGTACCTGCCTTCTCGCATTAAGAGCTGCAAGGCCCGTAGCCCCGAACGCTCTCTGTCCGGCTGGCTCTTAGAGTTGGTCGATGGGCGGGAGGCGTGGCCGGTATGCGCGGTCTCGTTGTTGCCCTGGTGGTGACTGGTCCCTGTGCTGGGGCGGTTGGGGCTGTTGTGGTTGCGGGGGTTGTTGAGGCCTGAAGTTCCTGAAGGCGTCTGGGTGTAACACGACCGGTGGCGTCTGCTCGACTGTAAGTGCGGGATCAGGAATGAATCCGCCGAGTTGGAAGGAAGGCCTCCCGTTCTGCTGGTCCAGCTCACGGGCTGAGAGGGCGAATTCTGAAAACCTCGGTATGAAATAGGGGTCAGTGTACGGAACAACGGTTGCAAATCTGTTCCGGAGCTCCCAGATGCCGATATAATTGGCTCCGCCTGCGTGGTTGTATGCCCGTAGCACTTCGGCCAATCGTCGTTGAGTGACGTTTGCATCTTGCGGCTGATCTTCGGCTGCATCGTCTTGGTTCAAAATTCTTCAAAAGTCCATGCAGATACTCTGGAAGAACCTGAAAATTAACTTAGGCGTGCATGTATTTCTGTACTGCCAATGCAGGTTGCGGAAATAGAGCGGGAAACGAAATAAAGGGAAACTCTATCTGAAACTATGATGATCCGGCTGCTTGTACAGTGTGCTGACAACGTATTTCGTGTGACTACACCCAGAGAGCTAAGGAACAGGGTGGGAGGATTTGTCTTGGTAGGTAAATCTGAGTGATACGCTGCCTGTCAAAGGATGAGACGGAAGCCTGCGAAGGGAGCGAGACCGTCTTCTGATCCGGTATCGTGGGCTTGGAGAGCAGGAGGCTTCTGCGCTACTAACCCTAAGCATGATCAACCTGTGGTTGGGAAGGAGGTATTAGGATTAGTAACTTATCCTTCTAGGGTTGGCGTATTGGACTGAGCCCCTCGTGAAACCCTCCGTGACATATCCCACTAGATTAGTAGAACACCAATCACGAACTTTCCTCTTCTTGCCCAATCTTCTGTTAGCTTCTCTGACTCCCCCCATCCTGTACAAAGCCATTTTGTGTGATCATAACAGTCAAACGTCCAGAAGCGGAAAGGTTCCTGGAAGCTATGACCAATGCGGATATTTCTAGCACCCCATATCATTAACCAAAAAACAACAACATGCGCTTCTCAAAAAAGAAGAACAACCTGTCAGCACAAATTACCAGCTGCTCAGATCATGGCCAACGCTTAAAAGCACTCTCAGATATACAATCTGACGAGGAATCTGTGGTTCAGATCGAGATCATATTGTGGGCAACTAAACACTTATAATCGTTACAGGAAAATGTTTTTTGAGGCACTTCGACTTGGAAATTTCTCATTTGTACTATAGCATCAACCCATCGATCTCATCAATATGATTTTTTCCTTTTGAAATAACAATGTGGCTTATATTGACCAAAGCAATTACTATTTTGTTCCGGACATCTAATCTGCTGTTTGGAAATCAATCACTACAAGTTGTCAGTACATAGAACACTCGCAGTAAGGCGTATACATAGGCCTTCGGAATGTAGTGAGCTGTAGCGAGTTTTATGAAAGCACTACCACATCAGCGGCGACGCAGAGGAACTTCACCATGTCTTGAACGGTGAGCAATGTGGTGATGTTCGCATCACGGGCGTTAAGAATCGAGATGAATGTTAATAACGACATTCATCAAGAATCGAAACAAACGTTCTTATTTCAAAAGCATTGATAGCAATAGGATAGATAGGGTTTGTTACTCCTCGTTTCCTATGATTTTAAATTTCTTTATTATGATGTGTGTAACAAAAGGTCGTAGGATGAAACATGTCCGACACGGCCCCGGGCCTACTTCCCAATCTGGATGGTGCTCTTCGAGAGCTGACTGTATAGCTCTGTGAAAACATCACCACTCAAAAGACATCCATAGACTTCATCAAACAAAACCAATCGATCAATCCCCAACCATGCCCCCAAAAAGGCCGCCGGATACCGGCGACGGCGGACCCAACCCCCCCTCCAAAAACCCGATCAGAATTCGATCGAACAATGTGGATTCCATGATGAGCGAACTAAGTTCCCCATCTATGACTACCACCCTAAACTCGGATTCAAACGAAGGCTTAATTCAAATCATGATCAAAATGATGGCAGGATTTGAAAGCACAATTAAAGAGCTCAACAATACGATCAAGGTACTACAAGAAGAGATCCGCCAGCTTAAAGCCAAACGATCGTCCTCTCAACTGTCCACTACCCAGCCAACCCAACCTCAACAAACTCGAACCAATGTTTGGACGAACCCTTACCCAAAGGCGACGACGAAAACGAATCAGGCGCCAAAACTCCCCCCTAAAAACTCTGAAATTAACGAATTCAAAGTGGCAACCTTGATAATTCATAAGGCTCAAGGAAGTGAACCATTCAAAGATTTCTCCAACCTGGCCATAGTTCAAAAAATCAACTCCGCACTTGAATCCATTGACGCCAAAGTTCACGATACGCCAGTCAGGATCAAAACAGCAGCTCTAATGAAATCCGGCGACGTCATGATGACAGTAGCCAATCAATTAATGAAACAATGGCTCTTAGAAAACAAACACAAATGGACGAAACTTGCCCATAAGGAATTCGAAACCACGCAAACTCGCTACCCGATCCTCTTTAAGTATGTCCCAGCTGAATTCGAAGTCCACGATCCTAGCTTCCTCAACAAACTTAGCGAACAGAACGATATACCCCGTAACTCCCTGCATTCAGCTCGTTGGATCAAAAACCCAGCAGACACGGGGAAGAAACACGGAACGATAGTGGTCAAACTTAGTAGACAAAATACTTGCGCAAAAGATTGAAAAAGGTGGCCTATGCTTTGATGGTAATCGACTCAAAAGTAAACTGTATGTACAAGGACCTACCATGTGCTTCAATTGTCTAGATTTAAATCATACCCAATCCTCATGCAAATTCACCGCTCACTGCGTCAAATGTGGTGATTCCCACAATACAAAAGACTGTGCAAATAACGATGTCAACCAGAACGGTGCCAGATGCGTAAGTTTTGATGCACAAAGAACTAACACTAATGTTGACAGATTTCTTCCAAAATACGCCCACTCCCCCAAAAGCCTTACCTGCCCACTAAGAAACACACAGTTTAGAATTACTACTCCTATCATAATTGAAGATGAATTATAATAGACCAGTAGAAATCCCAAATCCAGCACCTCTAACTGAAGTTGATTTCTCTCAAGAAAACGTTTCATCTGAACTACCCTCACTCTTAAATAACTTTTCAATTCTTCATCTCAACTGCAACAAATCCCAACACATCACACTAGAAGCGCTCACTCAAACGCAATACACAGTCCTTTCTCTTCAAGAACCGTGGTTTAATACGCTTAACCTCTCCTTCCCGGCACATGAAGCATGGCACCTCATTTCGGCATACGACTACCGGGCAAATTCCTGGGAGGACCGCCCCAGAGTAGTCATTTATATCTCAAAATTATTCCAATCCTCACAAATCTCTATTCTCCCAAGTATGTCTGATATTATCCTAGCCGTCGATATCAAACCCCCCGAATCTCACAAACCACACCTTCGAATAATCTCCTGGTACAACCCTCCCAACTCAAGCAGGGGTCTAACTACCTTAGAAAGGTGGCTCCGCCGTCACTACAATCGCAACCACGCATCCATCATCACAACGGACTCCAACCTACATCATACCTACTGGAACCCCCCGGAATACAAGAGAACTGACACGCAAGCTAAGAAATTCCTTCAACTTTGTGGATCCATAGGCTTGAAACTCGCATCCCCCAGAGGTACACCCACCAGATTCTCAGCAGGCACCTCACCCACAGCCATCGACCAAATCTGGATCAGCTGGAACCTCACGGTGAAAAGATGGATTAGCATCGGATCACTTACCCGTAGCTATTTTCCTTAACCTTCTCCTTACTCCCCCGCCATCAGAACATATCTCTTTGAAGCTAACTGACATAGACACAAATTTGCTCCATAATAGTATCCAACAAAAAATCCCCTTACTCCCACCAGTGTACTCGACGGTAGAGGACATAGACTCAGGCACAACAACCCTTTCCAAAATCGTTCTTGAAGCGGCCAATGAACAGGGGAAAAAAGTCAAGACCAACCTGAGAAAGTACAAAGCCTGGTGGGATAAGGAACGACTTGATCCGATTGTGAAGAACCGCAACCGTGCCAGACGCTGGATGATCCGTTCCAACCTCCCCGAAGCATATCAATGTTACCAAGACTGGCAAAACTTCTTCAAAGACCAAGTACGGATATCAAAAGCAACGCATTGGAAGAAGTTCTTAGCTTCATGCTCGGGCAACACGACTTTCAAAGCCTATCGTTACACCAAAACTGCGTTATCAGGCGAAGTAGCGCCACTCCTTCAAACGGACGGATCGGTCACTACCGATAAAAACACTCAGGCAGAACTCCTATTCTACGGCACCTCGGTGGCCCACATCGAGGCGGATCTTTCGGATATTCCTCAAACCCAACATAACGTCGACAGCACCAATACTCCTCTACACCCTTACCCTCCACTAGAAATAGACAAACTGAGACGAATCGTAGCCAAAACGCCCAGCAAGAAAGCCAAGGGAGGCGATGAATTATCTAATGAATTGATCAGATTAGCCCTCCCAGCAATAGAAGACGAACTCTGTAACCTGTTTAACGCCTGCTTCAAACATGGATACTTCCCAAATTCGTGGCAATCAGCAATAACAATTATCATCCGAAAGGCAGGGAAGGACAGTTACTCGGAACCGAACTCTTACCGGCCAATAGCACTCCTTAGCTGCTTAGGTAAAATACTGGAGAAAATCATTACCAGCAGAGTTACCTATTGGGCTGAAAACTTCCAAGTTATCTCACCGTGTCACATGGGTGGTAGACGCCAACATAGTACAGAGGATGCCTTATTTATCCTGACGTCGTGGATAAAAGAACAATGGCGCAAAAACCGAGTAGTCACAGCTCTATTCCTCGATGTTAAATCCGCATATCCATCAGTTCACCGTGAAAGACTATTGCACATCCTCCGCCAACACCACTGCCCCTCCTACCTTTCTCACCTGATTCAAGGCTTTCTCACCAAAAGGTCTACGAATCTTAGACTACAAGACTTCATATCAGAAGACTTCAAGATTGAAAACGGCCTCCCCCAAGGCTCCCCCCTATCGGTTGTTCTTTATATCATTTACAACTCAGGCATCTTAGGTAAAGAACCTCCTAACCCTCACAACAAAATGCTGTCATTAGGTTTCATAGACGATATTGTCCATGTAGTAGCGTCGGATACGTTCACGGAAAACTTAAATAACCTCAAACTACATGCAGATCGCTCACTTGTATGGGCCAAACGACACGGGGCTATCTTCGATAAAAAGAAAGCTCAATTGTTGCATCTTACAACCAAACACAACCTGACATTTCCCCCTTTTCTCTTTGGCGACATTATCTTGCATCCAAAACAAGAAGTTAAATGGCTTGGTCTATGGCTCGACACAAAACTTCTATTTAACAGCCATATTCAACATAGCAGAAAAGCGGCGGAATTCACACTTCAACAGTTCAGAAGACTGAACAAGTGCTATTCTGGACTCGCTATGAAAGAAATTAAGAGGCTCATCTCAGCCACCTTGATCCCTAGAATTTTATATGGGAGCATAGCGTGGTTCACACAAAAAATGTCAGCCCTGAGTACTAAACCAGAGTACCAATGGGCGACATATTATAATAAAAACCTTAAAAATAACAATTACAACTCAAGGCTCAGTTTCAAGAGTCAAGTTACATATGATTTAGCATATGTAACATGTGCAGAACTCAAATCAAAGGGTGTGAACATACATAACTTTGATGCAAACCAAAGCTACATATATTTCACAGCTGTAACACATATGTAACAAGCGAAATATACTTATAATACAATAGTAACTGTCTTACTGTAATTAACCTAACCATAGAACCACAATTTGTGCGCACTTGTAGTCCAAAGATTTCCAAGGTTCAGACTATATAAACCCTGGAAATCCAACCAAATTGAGAAGAGAAAATCATCACATTATTATTCAACAACTACACAACTTTGCTTTTATTCATCTTCCTAGAACCTTTAAACTTTGCGTTTCAATAACCAAACTTTAAAGGCCTGATTCTACGAACCTTGAAACTCAAACCTTGTGTCTTGTTGCTTATTCTGAGTGCTCATTCAACTTTGTTTCTGATTAGACTCCATAATCAGTATTTCTGGTAATATCCATTTGGTGGAATTACTTGTAAGGAAGTAGTCCTTGAGTATTGCTCATATCAGATTTGGGATTCATCTGATATAAGAAACTCTAAATCTACGGGGAAATCTCTATCAGTCAGAGTGTAAAGTTCCCGGTGTTATAATAGACCTTAACACCACCTTCTTTGACCTTTCTTAGAATAGAAGAGGATCAAATTAGGATTGAGAACTGCGCGTCAGTTGCTCTTCTTTTTAATTATTGTAAAGACAATAATTAACCCAAAATCCCTGGGCTAAAGCCTTTGTTTAAAGGTCAACTAACTGCAGTCTTTACTTGTTTATTGCAAGTAAAGCTCTTACGCCCACGTCTATACCCGTTCACACTTGTAGATCTTGATCTACACGACTTTCTACAACCTTTTTATTGACTCTACTAGCCTAACAGACGCTAGTAGGCTCACAAAAAACAGCAAAGAAAGTCTCAAAACTCTTCACTACGATCCAAAACGCAGCAAACAGAATCGCACTTGGAGCTTTCAAAGGATCTTCCAACGAACTGATGATGCACGACATGTACATGGCCCCCTTTACCTGGATTGCAACACGACGCCACCACAACTTCCTACTAAAGAGATGCTTGGCACCAGAAACCCACCCCACCACATTTTTCATAGAGCACGAACGACAGTCAGTCCCAAAAACGAACAAAGGCCCGTTACAAGGCGTAGTAAGGAAGGAGGACTTGGACACATTAATAAGAGAAGACATCGAAGTCATATACCCCCACCCGATAGCTCCTTGGTCCAACGACTTAGGGGAATTGCTCAATTTTGGATTGTCGAAAGAAGAAGCTACAAAGCGAATTCCAGACCAGATCAGGACTGAAGAAACGGAAAACGAAGCCCTGGTTATCTTCACGGACGGCTCAGTCAGGAGCGAGGGAGGTGGTGCAGCGGCAGTTTCAAAAACTTTCAGCAGAGCACAGGCAGTAACCCACGAAGAAAATTTCTCCAACCACGAGATGGAGCTGCTAGGCCTACTACTAGGTGCCGAACTGGCAAACGAGATCTTTCGACGGCAAAGACCCCAACCAAAAAACGTAGCCTTTTTCAGTGATAACCAAGGGGCCTTACACCTCGCTCATGGCATCCCTACGACTACGTCAGGTCAACACCTACTGATCCAAATACGCATCCAACTTAAACGCCTCCCCGAAAACACCAACATCCACTTCTACTGGACACCAGGTCACGAGGGGGTTGAGCTTAACGAATTAGCGGATCAACTAGCGGGTGACACAGCCGAAAGTCAAGCTGAAACAATGATTTTAAAAACCAGTCTAGGCAGCTTACGTAGACGGACCAAAGAAATCACTAATGTTAAATTGTTTCCTTTCAAACCAGGCAACAAAAAACTACAAACAAACTCAAAACAGGTAACGAAAGGCTTAGAAGAACTGGAAAAGGGTTCAACGGCAGCAATATTTCAATTAAGAGCAGGTTTCAGCCCGCTGAATGATCACTTGTTTGAAAGAAAACTAACCCCTTCCCCCCTGTGCTCTAAATGTGGGAAGATAGAGAACACCCAACATTACCTATTATTTTGCAGCAGATACTCAAAAGCTCGAAAAGTTCTCAGGACCAAACTTAGGAAGGAGAAGGTTAAAGTCGACTGGAACAATTCTAAAAAATTACTTGATACACCATCAGCTTTCCCTTTTTTAGCAAATTATATCCTAGATACTAAAAGATTTGTTCATGTTCATTCTTTCTTACAGGAGCAAAACCAAGGAGAACGGCGACAAGGCGGAATGAGGATGTCTTAGAGATAAGGGACCAAATTAAAGGATCTGTTCTTCACCGAGAACCCAGTAGGGACGTGTTTGCATATAGGTGTGAAAATTCCCTTTTCCACCAAGAACCCGATAGGGACGTGCTCACATAAAGGTGTAAAAAAAAAAAAAAGAATAATAATAATTACAGAGTAAAGAGGATAATAACCCACACTCTCCAATCACATAATTAGTTCACTTACACAACCCACCGAGAACCCAAATTGGGACGTGTCTGCATAGAGGTGTGAAATCCAAATCCACCGAGAACCCAGTAGGGACTTGCTTACATAAAGGTGTTTCAAAAAAAAAAAAAAACCCCCCAAAAAAAAAAAAGATTCTCCCAATGACTCAAAGACATCTAAATTCCTGCTTTGACTGTAAGCCGTCTCTCCAAGGTATAAGTCTCCACATATTGTAACTTGTTTAGATAGTGTTTATGCAATACAGCCCTATGCACTTAAAAAAAAAAAAAAAAAAAAAAAGTATAGCTCTGTACGAATTCCGCACTTTCCACATCTGCGCGGATTTTCCCGCGCTTCGCGCAGGCTCCAATTCTTTGGAGAATTTTGAAAACTAAACAAGTCTTCTGTTCGCCAAAACATATCCTTCCAGTTTGATCAAGAAGGAACAAGTTGAACTACACAATCATACAAAGCCCCTCGCGTGTTCGCCCCCTTCCACAAACACTTGTAGAACCGTTGCACATGATTCAGTAGGATTTTGATTTTTTTCGGGCGACTTTGTTCCGAGAGACAACTGTATTTCAATTGTTCTTCTTGCACTTGCACAGGCCTTCCAAGTTGCGACACGGTGTACTGCCACTGGCACCAATGCCAACGCTCAAAATGTGGATCTGTTGAGTCCCTGCTGGTTTTATTCAAAGAAAACATTTCTATAAGAACTGAGATCTTATCGGTTACCCTCCTCTTCGATTCCCCTTGTTTTCAATCCTTTTGACATCTCTTTATTCTCTGATCATTCATCAGATTACACATTAGAATTCTTCGAAAATGATCAAAATGCTCCTTAAGATCTCATTTTTATTACTATCTTTATGGATGCATGATTCCAGAGTGTTGGCCGCACAAGATACCAACGTTTACACTCCTACCTGCTTACAGTACCAATTAACCTCACGTAAGAAGGATATAGGTAAGTATAATAATTCTTAGGGTTTTTCATTGACTTTATGACTTCAACATGATCTGGATCTACATTGGCTTACTCGCAAACCACTGGAATCTCTCATATTACCAAAGCCTGCACAGGTCTTGATAAAAGACCTTATGATTGTGATCCAGGAACGTGCGAGGGCAATACCGGTAAGCGTGTTTCACAACATTCAATCATGATCAACTTTTTAATGCTCAAATTTCCACAGTACAACTGATTCACTCAAATCTATCACATCTTTAGGTTTTGCATATGCTCAAATGACTGGTTGTGTTCATAACGGAGTAACTGATAAAACTCGAACTAAACAAAAATGTGGTCAATATACATATAACATGCAAGCTAAAACTTTCAGTTAGTATTTTCTGAATCTTGTGTTGTATGATCCCATACTTGGTCAAAAACTAAAAAATCTTTCCTCGTCATTGAACATCTTCTTCATTTTTTCTTTTACAAATCTGAAATGTTCACCAGGTTGTACTAATCTTGGAAACGCTCATTATACATGTCCTTATGATGAGAATGTTGTTAATCTCATAGGTTAGTAAAGATTGTTTTTTACCTACTATGCATGTATTCAAAGAAAACTTGACTAAAGAACGAATCTCATTGCATTTCAGACTGCTCCGCTTGCGCATCAGGCTAGATCATCAAAGAACAAGAGAATCTGACTCCTCGAATATCTAGCATGTTAAAGTATCGAAAAGAATCTCTTAACTTACGAAGAGTAATTGGATCTGTAGGGTTTTCAAACGCTGGTATCCTGAAGCTTGTGAAACTAGAGAAATTGTTGAACATTAAATAAACGCTATATCAGATCAACTTGATGAAACAGAGAGGATTGTTTAATCAAGAAACCCCATCCCAAACAATAGATACACGAGTTTTCTTTATCTCGGTTTCCTTTGATCCATTATTATCGTCAGCATCATACTTATCTTGACTCTGAGTCTTGCCAATTGAGTTCTCTTGACCACAAAATCCTCTGTAGACAGTCAGAAATTAGAATGACCGACCATGCACTTATAGTTCAAATACCACAAATCGTTCACTTTTCCAACTTTCAATGGTTTGTTAATTGCATTGATAAATCGCCTCCAAGGGGCCAGGGCATCACATAGCTCAGATCTGCGTGCGGGCTTTTTGGACAGCAAATTCTTTGATTTCACCCAGCTCTGATCTTTGCATAATGCTTTTGACCTTGAGGATCAAAAAATCAAGAAGTGCCACCAAAAACACATGGATAGAGAAGTACTTCCACATTGAACAAGGTTCAAGAAATAATCGAGCTTCCTTGATGAGCAAGCAGTGGATTCAAAATTGCAGTTTGACATGGAGGTTCTTTGAAAGGCCCAACAGAGCGGCAGCGTGACAGTATCGAACTTGTCCTGAGAATCACGTGCTCTGAGACATGCTCTGAGAACACCAAAAAGCTACAGAAAATAGTGGCTTTCTGCACAGTGTGGTGGAGACTGGTAGCACTCCATAGTCACTCCATAGTTCATTTGTAAAGTGTAACAATGTCATACCAAAGATATCAATTGCGTCTACCATTTCTCAACTCTGATGGATAAATATATCATTGAACTTCTTACATGGTCACTATTTACAATCTGAATTGAGATGCAATTAATTTCATCCTAAAGACATTGCAAATCCTTCATCTGACAAGAATCTGACCATGATCAAATTTGAAAATGTTAATTGTTTCAATCTTTACTCAGCCAAATGATCAATGTCAGCTTGATGAGAAATACTTCAATCACAAGGGTGAAATTTCTTTGCTTTAGTGAGAAAGAGATGAATGATAGAAAAGAAGAATTGAAGCTTGAGTTTTTTTGTCAATTTCATGTTTTATTGGATCAGACTCAGAGCAACTTCAAGATGAACTTCATTAATCTGCTTCTCGCAACCTCCTTTCCATACCATCAATCAACTTTGAGCTCAGCTGCTAATCTCAGGATAAAAAAAGAAGCAACCTGGCATCTACCTCTTATTGGTCAGCAAGCTTCTCAAACTTAACAAAGTCCAATTGTCCCTCATAGATTTTTTTGACAACTAGTTGTTGCCAAGGCACAAGGGACTTGGGAAATACAATGGATTTTTGGTGTGGTGGGGCTTCTAATTTTCTAGAGGAGGATTCCACCATGCCACTCACCAGAAAGTCAATTATGCCCCAATACCAAAAGCAGAGGTCTTGACCTGCTCTAAGTAAGACAAAAGTTTTCCTTGAGAGGGAAACAATGCCTTCAAGATTTTCGAAAATTGACTGCAGTTTACAGTGATGAGTGTATGTAATCCAAAGTTCAAACCAGGCAATTGAACATCAAGGATAACAAGGAATCCCCTTGATATCTATTCTCATCCCACTTTGAGGTAAGCTTGGTGATTGAGCAAAAAATATAAGACTTGAAAAACTCATAACCTCCTTTGAACAAACAAAAAATGTGCACTGGAGAGGATAAGATCAGTTTGAACAATTTTCTTTCTTTCATGTGTTTTCTCAGTGTCCATTTCCAAAGAAAGCAAACAGAGTGGATATGCAAAAGGGGAGATGCATTCTGCCTCAATCTAATTACCCACTTCACCTGACATCTTCATGCCTATCAAACTTCCCACTGAGAACTCAATTTTCCATAAATTCTCATTGGCTGTAGCTCGAGACTTGAGCTACATACATCAATGACTGTAACATTTGCACAGCAGTTCAATTTTTTAAGACAATGTTTTCCTCTCAAGGAAAACTTTTGTCTTGATTTTTCTCCAGGAAATCTGAAGAAAGCAATCTCTTCAAGAGAAGAAGGAGGTTAAGACCTCTGCTTTTGATGTTGGGCCATAATCAACTTTTTGGTGAGTTGCACAGTGGAATTTTACTGTACTAAATTTGAAAACCCACCACACCAAAAATCCATCTTACCACCCAAGTCCCTTGTGCTCTGGCAACAAGTAGTTGTCAAAAAAATACAAGGCACAGTCAGACTTTATTAATTTTTTAAACTTCTGCTGCTCTAAGTTTTTCAAGACATCCAAATCCAACCCCTTTATTATCTGGTTCAATACCTTCAGATTCCAGTTATATTCTGGAGAGTTTTTGAAATGGTTTTGGAAAGCATGAATGGAGTAGAATGAAGGGACTTGAAGTTGCAAATGAGCAAAGATTGGTTGATTGATGGACCAAACATTATCACTGCCTACGGTGCTACTTTTCCAAAGCTGAAATGTTATAAGTATATGTTTGTTAGGGTCGTATTTATTGTTAAGTGTGACAAGCTCCTCAAATGATGACCACTGCTTGTAACCTTAAGGGATGCGACTTCTTGCATTGATCACCTGTGTTCAGTGCCACCTAAACACGGGTCTACAAAGGTCAACATGGGACATCTCAGTTGTTGGACCAGCTTTCATTAATCAACTGGTGGATTGATTGGCTCTTTTGGAGCAATCAAGACTTATCAGGCGTGACTAGACCCTGGGTGGCCAGCCGCCTTGTGACCTTGCCTTACCTAACATACCCATTGACATAAAATCTCTGTGTGGTTTTGCACCTTACATATATGAAAGTTTGACAGTCACAAGGAACCACCTTTTGGTAGGTAGCACATTATAGTCATACCATGAAATGTTAGGGGGTTTCAAGTTAAAGGTTTTTATGCATTTTTATGCTACAACAGCTTGCCCATTGTTGCAAAATATGTGTCAGTTTTTTACCAGGATACCTTTTTAGGTGTCCCGAATTAAAAAGACATCAGTTTTACAAAGATTTTTTTACAAAAAACTTGCCCAAATTTTTGAAAAGATATGCAAAAAAAATCAAACTTGAAACCCCATTACGGGTTGAGCAAAATTTTGACCAACCAGTTTTGCGCTTCTGAGAAGCCTCCTGAAAGGAGTCAAAGATGGCGGAGGCAACACCGGAATAGCTCCGCTCCGCAATGAAATCAGACCAAACTATCCTGCGGAGCGGAGGCTCCGCGCTGAAAATCACCGCTCCGCTATCGCTTTTTTTGAGAAAAAAATTCTTGTGGAAAAGCGGAGCGATGTTATCGCTCTAAATTGCTCCGCTCTCCGCTATATAGAGCGGTCAAAGGGTAGAAAATGAAAAAAAAAACAAATATATTTCAAAGCTATGTGTACTCGCTCAAGCCTATAGGGACGGGCTAAGTAGGAGAAAGGGAAATAACAACAAAAAAGAAAAATAGAGAGAAGAGAAAGGTAAACAAAACTTTCAAGTAAAATATTTGATTTAATTTGATAACATAAAGGTGATCCTAAAAGCCTATTTTTTTTTCTTGGTTGATCTTTTTATGTATTCTTGAAGAGCGTTTGCAGCAGCTTCAAAAGGACCATCAGGAATTATACCTTCTTTCAACCATGCCTGACATCCGACCAGGCGCTCCATTGTCTTGGGAAGCATGCTACCCCTTGACGGGGTACATACATCAGCAGCAGCAGAAAAGGTCCGCTCGCATGCGCAGGAAGTGGCCGATATAGAGAGGTAGTCGCGGGCAAGCCTTGCAAGTATTGGGAAATGTTGATGATGCGCCTGTGAGCAAAGAAAAACAAAGAACAGTTAGAACTTAATAAAGAATGAACATAAGAATGGAAGAATCATCACCTTCCACCATTGGAGGGGGGTTTGGTCTGGAGTAATTTGGTATTGTCCTTGAAGATACTCGTCCAGTTCCGAAATCAAACCTTTACCTTGATCACCGGTTGAACTTGAGTCTCCAAACACATCAAACTGGTCAAGCTCCACAAACTGGCCATTATCTTGAGTTGGTGAGGTTGGCTGGAGCACTTCGCTTTCTGCCAAAAGATCCTCGTATGCATTTTCTAAGACTGCATGAGCAGTAGCCTCATGATCTGGAAAGTGGAGACTGAAGAATTTCCCTCGGAATCGTGGATTGAGCATTGCGGCGAGAGTTATGGCGTCGCTGTTGGCAGCCTCGCAGAGATATCCAGTAAGCCATCGTATCATTGTGTTGATTGCTTCGTTAAGACTTGGAAAGTCGTTGTTTTCAGCCTGATGTTGCTTAAGCTTGTGGATGACACGCTTGTATTTGGCTAAAAGGATGCATCCCGTCGGGCCATTGCCCTCGACTCGAGCGGTTGCATCCACAAAGGTCTTCCAGAAAGCAACATCATGATCAGTAAGCTAATTATGAAGACAAGAATGATGAGATGAAAGAAAGAAAGAAACAAGTGATAGAAAACGTACCTTCAAAACTTTGTTGACTAACTCAACAGCATGCCATTCTGATGGCAAAATTGTCACTCCTTTGAAAAACTGGGCCTTACGATCGGCTGATAGCATGGAGTTTATGACCTGACAAGTTGAAAAATTGTTCAGCAAGGTAACGGAAAAGAATGAATAAAGCAGGAAGATAAACTTACCTCCTGAGCCTCACACGCAACTTTACGGCTTTTATAATGACTGTTCCAACGGGTCTCGCAAGGACGCCTAAGCATCCGACCCTTGTAGCCCATACACTCACCACGCAACTTGAAATCGCTCCGACGGGCTGCGCTACTGGCGATTTGTCCAGAGATAGTATCAACCTATGTGCAAAGAGAGACAACAATGAGAATGTCAGCATCTCCATTTGCAAGTCAAGATATTCAATGCGCACGTACCTTTGCAAGAGC